CCGATAAATTAGGCCTTCCTCTACAAAATGTCCAATTCGCACAAAAACATAAACCTGTGTTTCTGGGAAAACTAAATTTTGATGACAGTCTGCTTCTGTCAATTTTTGCTTAAAAATCAAAATATCGCGGAAACGGTCAATCCTAAGTATGGAGTGTGCTGTATGTTTTCAACTTAAAAATAAATGCTCTTTCCAAGAATGCAGTAACATACAGGGGGTTCCATTTAAAATAAGAGAGTTGGTATCGACTTTCGGTATAACCGGAAGTACGATGACCTTGAAAATATTTTTGCTTGGTAGGCCCCACGGTCCGTATCACACCACCACAATTTCAAAAAAATCATAAAGCGGTTTCCCAGATATCCATCGAAGTTCGGTGAAGTTTGGTGAGCCACCCTGTATATATGTATATATGTATATAATAGAAGTTATGTCTATTCATAAATTTATATACGACGTATATACAATTTTGTTTGTATTAGACGGACCTCAGTACTTATCAAGGATATTCTGCTCAATAATGTTTATAAGTTTGAAGTAAAAATATTTCGATATAAACTCAATTTGCACTGAACCAATAGCTGTGACTAGGTACACTTCGTGACGTCTACTTTAACTTATTTTTAACCCACCCAACCGGCACGTGTTTATTCTAAAAACAGTGGTAGTTTACACGAATTACATGATACGACATCTAATTCATTGTATCCCTGCGAAAAGCTTTTTTTATTAAAATGCTAACTTAGCTCAATCCAGTCTAACGAAAGTTAACATTTAAAGCGAAGTCAGATTGAAGATTAATTATTTAAAACATTTTTAGAAAGCAGAAAAGTAAAAATGTAGATTGTTTTGAAAATTAGCAAAGTAACGCATGGACAAATTTATGTCTGGGTTATTTGCTCTCGTCAAAACAAAAAAGATGATAAGAAATAATCTATCAAATATGCAAATCACGATTTTGTGCGAAGTCAAATAACTTTTTTTGACAATTGAAACTTCAGTCTCTCATTTAGGCATCGATGTTTGAAGAACAGTAGCCACTTTTAACATTTGCTGTAATGATAGTTTTGTTTATTTGTTAATAAATAATAAAAAGTAATTATCCTTAAAAAAAGTACCTAATATAAGTAGAAGAGCTTTCTAAAAATGTGTAAAAGAATGACAATACCATTAAAAATATGATGGTATTGGTATTGTAGTTCTATTAGCGATTATTCAGCATCTACACAATGACACCAAAAGACGCATTTTTAAAAACAGAAAACGATCTGTCTGAGAGTGTTTTTAACAAGGCAGCTGTTTCAAAAATGTCGAATTTAATCGTTACTTCATTACAAACAGGAATTTTACCTATAACAAAATATTAAAGCTTTGAGTGATTTAAACTGATTTGAATGAGTAAAAATGAATGTAATCAAAGCATCGAACAAAGCTTTTCTGACTGCTTTAAATTATTATTGTGTTGTACAAACTTTTAAAGTAATTGTTTATTCTATCAATAGTCTTACTATCTATATTTCTACACTTCTCCGGAGAATAGCTTTTTAGCATATCATCAGTTAATACTTGTAAATTTCAAGAATGTGTACTTTTTTATTACTGTCAATTATAATCCTAATAGACAATTCTAATTTTTTTACACCAAATAAAATTCTAAGAAAATGTTCAAAATAAAAATTGTTACTATTAGTTTTATAATGATTAAACTATTAATTATATTAATCATTGCTGTCTAAATCTATGAAGTATATTTAACTATAAGTTGGTTATAGAAAAATAGATAATTAAGTGGTCAGCTAATCTATGGTTACAATAATAAACCATGATCATAGTATGAAGTGTTGTATGAAACTTGATCAAGAAATTGTTAACTAAACCAAGCATTTAAATTAATTTTTTTAGTTGACAACACCCATTTCTTTTGGGATAATTTACCATAATTGTGGTTATATTTCTAGTATGACCCCACCACAAAATATATTATGCTTTGTGAACCTTAAGCTACCATTGAGTAGAAAGTTAATTATATATCATTCCATTCAGCATAATATTTTCTCATCTTTATTAATAATAAATTAACGCTCATAGTATTCGTATCATAAAATGAATAAGAAAATATATAAAAATATACATAACTCAAAAAACTTACATTTTTCATTTTATTTACAGTCCATACGATATTTGTTGAGATATAAGTCCATAATACACTTACGAAGAAACACTATTTCGTAACTGAAAAACACAGTATGCGAGCTGTTACAGTGAACCCCACATTGCCAATGTCTTTCTTCCTCGGGTGTGTGTCGAATGCGGTTAATCCAAGAAAGTGGCGCAGGGGTCTTCTTGGTATTCTATTTCAACACATATCGTACGGACTGTACTTATAATAATGTATTTCATATATTGAGTAGAAACCTGAAAGTTGATAACATATCTGGGCAACCAAGCTACCAAGCTACCAAGCTACTCTTAGTATCCGGTGATACTTTACTCACTTCGAATCTACTCGTATACCAAGTTAAGTAACGTGTCAAGTTCTAAGTGGCATCCGATTTTAGTCATATTGTTACAAATGGAAATCATATTCCATTTTCATGCTTGATTTAACATTTTCTTTTCATGTCACATCTATCAAAATCTAGACAAAAGACAGAATCGTTATTTTCACACCCAAATGTTAACACGATTTAGAAAGAAACAAACAAACAGTAATGAGAGTTTCAGTTCAAGGCGAGGGATGTGTTTTTGTTTTTCCGCTTCATTCTTAGAGTTTTCGTAAAACTTTACCGATTAGGACCAGACTACAACATTAAGACCAAGTTTGCAACACTTTCAGATACAACTTGCAAGAATTATCGTCAATTTTTGATAAATGTAGATATTACTTAAGGAAATCTGCATAACTTTTAAACTGTAGACCTGTTTAAAATGTAATACGTAGGGAAACTATGAGCAAACATTAAGGAGGTGATTGTTACACCATTGTTTTTACAAATGAGTGTTACATATACAGGGTGTATTTAAATGACGGGGCACAAATGATACCAGAGATTCCTTAGGTGAAAATAAGTTGATAACATACATATATTCCAAGTCGCATAGTAAAAAACTACAGGATGTCAGAGTGGAAAATAAAAAACTTTTTTTCCTTAATAAAAAAAACATACTCTTCCGACATTTTGCCACACAAAAAATCGTCAAAAATACTCAAGTAAGTCTTACTCATTTGCTGGCTAAACACAAGCTTAGCGTAGCAGCTTCCTAAAAATGGATAGGTACGTGACTGACAATGCTACCAACAGTACCAACACACAATAAAAGAATCAACTCGACAGACAAGATACAACACGAGCAATTTGAAAATTGCCGTTACTTTTTTATCAAACTTGTATATAAAATCATCATCAAATCATTGTACTAATCTGAAAAAAGGGAGAAATTCAAATAATTCGACAAATAATTAAGAAATTCGACTGTTTTCCTTAAAACAACCATTCGAAGGAAAAATATTTTCGAAAAGGGGAGGGGGGATTAGAATGAAACACTTGAAGAAAAACCAGATTTGGATGAGACATCGTATGTTGGTTCTCACAACGAACAGTGACTTCTAATTGAAGCATATTTAACATAAGAAATCTGTAGTAATATATACAGGGTGTCTTACGGTGACGGCCCATTAGAATTATTTCAGACTACATCGATTTGAATTTTAAAAATTTGGGATACCGGGTATATTTTGAAAATCAGAAACTCAAATTCGGTACTGCCTTTAATTTCTACAAAATTCAATTTCTTGTCGAAAATAAGGTTTTTCTCAAAAACTATAATTTGGCCTGAAAATACATATAAGAAGAAAACGTTCTGCTATTTATAATTTACAGAAGTTTACAAAATGTTAGTCAATTCTTAGACAGATGTTTCTTTGTTTGGTGTTTGCTTTATGCTTTATGCATTCAATAATAAGTTTAATTTTATCTTTGTTTTGTGACCAGTATTATTCAAATATCTCCTGTTCTTGTCTTTTTCCTAAATATTTTCATTTGTAGCAGTTACTTTCTTTTCGTTATTTCGAATCGTTTTTTCAGGTTTTTTTGCAGTTTTACTAGTTACAAATTTTTTAACAATAATTATTACATATTTTGCTTTACTTAGAAGAAGTACAATGTTTTGTAGTTTGTGTATAACTGTAGAAAGTCAAGCCGAATGTTGGTGCACTTACCTTTGATAATTTGTTTATTACAATAAGCAAAATCTTTCATTTAAGTTGTAAGAAATAAAAATGTTAAGGGTTATATCTTATTTATTTATTTATTTTTACAGTATTCAACGTGCAATTAACCAATTACAGGATAAGGGAGAAAAAATTGTTAAAAAAAAACGGTATTTACTTAATATCAGTATCAGTACCTACATCGAGTAAGCAATTGAAAAATAAATACACATACATATTATTCTGACGTTAGGTTTGAACACGCAAACAGAACATTTATTTGTTTCATGGGGTTCTGATAACAATATTGGCACAATTTTCTCAATTAAATCTCGCTTCAGTTATTACGGTTATGTATAACTTATAATATAACAGCAATAACATATTGTTTTTTTCTCAGATAACCGGAAAACTAATTCGAAAATGGATAAGAAATACATAAAAGCAAATTATGTCGATAAATAAAATATTATCATTAAGTTGTTAATTATTCTATTGTTCAGTATTCAAAGATGCAATTATTTATATATAAATAACTGAAACAATATTGGTACTGTAGCCTATATGCCTGACACCTATTCCCATATACCAGTAAACTTAACGCCGACATTCTAAAATTAACGCAGGCATCAGCTGATCGTGAGTTATTTTCAACGCAATTTCGTAAAACATGCTGTGCAACACCGGTCGTATTTATAAGAACCACAAGCCAAGTTTTCAGAATCTTACAAAGTTATAAAAAATATTAAATAGTGCGTCTAGTTAAAAATAATAATGCTTGATGACTCACAACTGTTCTTCGCTGGATATGTCTAGATGAAATGTGCCATGTTGAAGTTGAACGAAGTATTAATACGAGTTTCACGAAGACGCGGAAGTTTATGAGGTGGACCCAGCTGGCGGCGGCCGACGCTGGCTGAAAACTAGCGTTCTAGCGCCGCGACGCTTCTCGCGGACATTTAGATTCAAAGCTCTGCGCCGCGCCAGCACGCAAGCCTGCCAGGTGCAGCCGCTGCTTAGCTTTGCGGATTTGACGAATTTGGCAGGGGTTAATTAGTGGTAAATAACGGAGGTGCCGTGGGCGAAATGTCGCTGTGGGGAAATAGTGCCGGAAAGAATTGTTTCACTTGGTATGTTCTGAATTCAGGGTTCGTTACGCTGTCCTCGAGGGATAAATTGAGGAAAGGTGTACACTTATAAGGAGATGCAACGGTAATGCGTGGTAATGCTAGGTAATGCGAGGTAATGCGATGTAATCCAGGGTAATTTCTAAGGAAATTAGAGTAATGCAAAGGTAGTACAAGAAAGTTGTCAAAAATTATAGCTAATCCTAAATGGGGGGTCATATTTATATGGAGACTACCTCTGACCTTAAGAAACACTTATCATAAGTTGATTTTTTCAAATTACGGCGTGGAAACTGATTTTTTAACCTTCTTTTAGTAAATTTTATACCCCGCCGCTAGACCTCAATCAGAAAACTCAAACAGTAATAAATAAAAAATGATACAGTCCGTACAATATTTGTTGAGATAGAATTTCAAGAAAAGAATATGTTAATAAAGTTCTGTTATCGGAACTACTGTAACAATTTACCTAGGCAGGGGCGTGCCTTGAAATTTTCCGCCGATGCACAGTGGTCGGAATTCCGAAAAAGCTGGACAAAAGTCGAAATTTCAAAGTCGTTGGTTTGCGTTAATACTTCAGATTATTCTAGAGAAGGAGTCACTGCGTAGTTCTTTAAAGTGAAAGAGAGCTGGCCCATGTGTATAGACTACAGCAACCATCGGAAGTATGCTGCGACACATTAGCATATTTAACTTGCCACTTACCCCTCGAAAAGCGGTGAATTGAAAATATGTGCAAATTTTTATTAGAGTACTAGAGAGGGTGTTCCTGGAGTTAAGTAGAATACATTTGCTCATTTAGAACCTCATTTTTCGAAAGTTGCGTGTTTTTATTGTTTTAACAAAAACGTCTTGCAATTTCCATCTATTTCAAATCACATCAATCGTAAATTATCGAAATAGTTGTGATCCCAAGAAATCCTGCATTATTGAAAGTTAGAAAATAGGGACTGGAGTGTCAGTTTCATATATCAAAAGGGAAAACCACCGGATTTTTCCGGATTGGGGTTCTAAGTCATTTTTGTGCCTCCATGTACGGCCGATTTACTATTGTAAGAGGCCTTAGTTTTACAATAGCTAGCGTTTTAGTGTCTCTTCGCGTTCCAAACGAGCCTTTCTAATTCAAATTGTTTTTTTTATGAACATGCACCTTTTTCTTGCCTTGTTAGTATGGGTCAAATTTTGCAAATGAATTTTAAAACAGTTTCCCCAACCGATTGAGCTGAAATTTTGCATACACGTTTAGTTTGGATGACAATGCATGGTTAGTTAAGTGACGTCATTCTAAATCCAATATGGCGTACTCCCAAAGATGGCGGACCAGTTATTTTTTGTGCACCCCCATGATCTGGGTATCAAATGAAAGGGTTTGCTGAGAAGAATACGAAAATAGAATGAAGAAAATTGTAGATGAACTTATTATCTATGATCTTTCAATTCATAATTTATCATTTTCGACAGGATCAGGCACCAGTAAAATTACGTGCATGAAAAAATAAATTTTTCGATTTTTGATCGGAAAATTCCAAGAGAATTTAGAAACGCAAATCATCATTTTAGATCAACCTTTTTTAAAAAGGTGCAAGATAGATGAAAATGAGAAAAGCTATTCAACCGAAGCTATGGATAATATTTTCATGCTCTGACGGTTATGTGACAGGTGATGACGATGCGAATGACTCATGTGTATTAGAATTAGCTAAATAATTAGAATAAGCTTTATAACAAGAATAAGCTTCAATATTATTTAGACATTATTTCGTTCGAAATGACGAATTCATTCCAAATACATGCCTTATATCGCAGATATTTACCTTTCGTACTTTATTAATAATAATTAAGTATCTCAAAAACTTCAAACTTCGACTATACATACGTTTTACGCGACCTCAATACCAAAATTTCAATTAGATTCAATAAATTAACGTGATATATCGGCCATTTTGTATCAGCCATCTTGAATTTGAGATTTTTTACTGCAAATTCGGCTTTAGCGACCTGAAAAACATAAAGTCCCCATTTTTGGTGATGATTCAAACCTTTTTGAACTTTTGTCCAGCTTTTTTGGATTTCCGACCACTGTGCGATGTGAGACACAGGGGTCTTCTTGGAATTCTATCTCAACAAATATCGTACGGACTGTAAATGAAACACTCAAAAATGTGGAAATAACTTGTTTAGTCACCTTATTTTTACAACATATGACGTTCTTGTAGTTAATCTTCGAGTCTGATACCGTCTTGCAACAATGTTGAAAAATGTTCAGTTAATATCTTTTTTATTTACAAAATAACTACCTTTGTTTTATTCACCGTGAGCTCGACGCTTTAGTACGAAAACATGCTTTCTCAGATTTCGGTTGGAAAACATGTTATCTCAAATTTCAGTTGGAAAACATGCTAACTCAGATCTTTAAGTAAAAACATGCTATCTCAGTGTGACTAGAAATTTAAGTTGGCACATTGAATGATTGAAACCGTGCATTTATAATAAACTTATATAATATATTTTTAAAAAATTAAGGAATGTTTATGTTTAGGTACAATGTTTATTTTATTTTTTTTTATTCAACATTTTTCAATTAATTTTGTTAAGTTACCGTTATAAACGACAAAATTCTTAATTGAAAAAATAGAATAATATGTAGTATGCTGCAACACGTACATTACTCGACGTTTTTTGAAATAACAAATTATAAAAAAAATAGTGTATACCTTAATATATAAAAATGTTTGTTATTACTAAAAATATTCGATTTTTTTCATACAAGTTTGCTTTGATATCAAAATTAATAGCGTACTCTTATCTGATTTATAGTCGCTACTCTTGATACACTATTTTCACAAAATCTGGGATGCACAATTTATTCTGAAAATAATTTTGTATGCCTAAGGAGACTGTAATAAAAAGAATTATATAGTGGACCAGACTAGGCCCCAAACTCCGGGTCCGAATCGTTCTTACTGCACCTCATTAGAAATAAATGGCTTCTCAAGGGTGCGGTAGTCGCGTGCTTGCATAGACTTTGGAAATGAAATGCAGGTATGCGACACTTTTATTACCGGTATTGTCTGATCTGTTGATGATAAACATGTGTGCATGGGGAACCGCCGTAATGTGCACGTGCAAATCATATGCGCCCGTCGCAACGATATTATATGTATACGTATATGTATATCATTCAACTTTATACATTATATTTATATTCTGGTTATTATGTTAACTCTATTAACAAAAAAAGTAAGAGTAGTGACTATAAATCAGGTAAGAGTGCGCTATTAATTTTTATATCAAAGCTTATATGAAAAAATCGAATAATTTTTAGTAATAACAAACATTTTTATATATAAGGATTAAGGTATACACAATTTTTTTTATAATTTGTTATTTCAAAAAACGTCGAGTAATGTACGTGTTGCCGCATACTGCATATTATTCTATTTTTTTAATTAACAATTTTGTCGTTTATAACAGTAACTTAACAAAATTAATTGAAAAATGTAATAATAAACAGTGTACCTGAACATAAATATTCCTTACTTTTTAAAAAATATATTATATAAGTTTATTATAAATGCACGGTTTCAATCATTTAATGTCAGTAAAAGCTGTTTTACATTGACAATTTATTCATCAATAAATTGACGAAGTTCTTCATGAATTTATTGGTAAACAGTGTGGTTTTACACTGCTACAGACTTTGTCAAGTTTTTTGACGTATGAATCAGTTCTACCAACGAATCAAAGAAGCAAATAAATTTCAAAAATGTCACCTTTCCACTCATAATTGTATTGATACAACAGCGGTACCGTTCTGACACATATTATATAAATATTAGTTTTTGTAAGTAACAAATCAGCAAAAACAATACAAAACTAGTACGACGTCACACAATTATTTACATATTCCAATAACATAACCTCATTACTGATCTGAGGCTGGAAATCTGTTGGGTTGGTACTTCCGAACTTCACGAAGAAATTGACGAAAATTAGATCAGGCTCTAATTCGTCAAGAACTTGATGAATAAATTCATGAAGTTATTTGACAGCAGATTTGGTGCATTACACTTGCCCAATTTCTTGATGAAGCGACTTCATCAATTAATTGATCAATAAATTGTCAATGTAAAACAGCTATTAGCATGTTTTCCAAGCTTAATTTGAGATAGCATGTTTTCCAACTGAAATTTGGGATAGCCTGTTTTCCAACCGAAATGTTTTCATACTAAAGCGTCGAGCTGTTAAAATTATAATTTATATTTTTATTAAAAATAAATTTTCTTATTATCTTATTTTGCATGTGTATGTTAAATAAGGATAATGTAGGAGTAGCCATAATATTTATATATTTTAAACTCTGTTGTAAGTTATTTCTTCTTTGAGATACTAGCAAGTGAAACATGTTAGTATTTAACAACTTCCACTATTTACAATGTTGATGTGGAGGTTTAAACTTCAGATAAATATGCAGTTGTTGACATATCAAATAGATGTAATCCTCGATCTGCCACTGCTTTTTCAAGTCTATAATGGAGTCGAGACATCTTCGACATTCATCGATGTATAATGGACGTTATGTATTGTCTGGGTGCTTAGTGGCACTCACTAATAGATACATAACCCATTCTTAAATCAATAAATAAACACAAAACTATTTCCTGTCGACAGTATCACTTTTGTCATTTATGACTAATAGGCCTATAAACATGTTATATTAAAAATATAAATCTAGGAATGAATAAACTTATTGTCTGTTGCCGTTTTGTCACAGAAATAATCATAATGTAAATGTCGTATTTTAATATTTTTAAGCAATATTGTACGAAAATTTGACACTTTATCTAGCCTATTTGTAAATACTACATATAATTGTGTGAATTTCTTTTCTGTGTGGCATTTACTGATCGTTACTGTATGTACAGCAGGATTCTCTTCAACGTAAAATAAGTTTAAAGTTGAAATCCCTTAGATTCCTCTTAATTCCGACTTAACTAGTTAGTTTTAACACAAATTTTACAACTACTATGAAGCAACCGCACCGTACAAAGTTTGAGGTCTTAAATGATCCTGAATAATTTATCAAAAACTGAATTTCACGTCCAATATTTGAAGGAGCTTATAGAGCCTGCTTAAATTTCCTTTAAAGAAATCAAACTACCTACATATTTATTATTATATATCAGTTTCATAGTTCAAAATCAAGTTGTGAAATTTTTTTGATATAAATAAAGATAATAATAAGTTTGTTTTGATATCAGTTGAATAAAATAAACATACCTGCCTACCATCGTTTTGTTTTCAACAAATTCCTAAACCAGAAAATTTATCTACCGTGTTAAATGGTATAAAAGTACTCACGGACTGTTATTGTAAATTGTAGAGGCGTATAACGTTGAAAAATTATACCTGGTCCTCGAGTTATAAGTACAAAGTAAAGAAAATCAGAACTTAATTTTCCTCATGAACACATTTTCACCCAACCTACAGATTTCCTGTAGATTTCACATTGCGGATCATGGAGATCTATAATAATTACTGATTACAATCAGACCCATTGAAAATTGTCTTTATCTGTTACAAAACAATATTATTAAGTTATTCAACATATTGACGAAATTTTGAAATTGACGTTATTTCTGCAAGCATTTTGCGAAATATGGATACAAAAAGTTATTAACAATTTATAGAAATATGTTTCTATGATGTGTTACTAAAAGAAAAGCAATTTTTTGTAACCTGTATTTTAGCAATTGCTTATCTGGACAAACGCGGTTCCAATATTATTCCGACCAATATATGTAATTCATGTAATTTTGATATAAAAGATAAGAATTATTACAAGCGTTTCCTATACATATAAAAATAAAAAAAATCACTTTTATTATAAATGTGGTCATAAAACAAACTTGTTTATGCAATTTTTATAAGAAAATTATTCTCATCTTCGGTAGTTCGATTTTGAAGTATTGGTGACAATACGAAGGCTTTAAAACTCATATATTTTATCGCCGTTTCGAATGTTTGTAATATGAAAATTTCTGCAAATTTCAATCCCTAAAGTATAAAAAATCGAACAGCTTCTTTTATATTGAAACATTACGAATAATGTTAGACGTTCGAAATATTTATATAAATATGACTTCAAATATGTAAAATTTAATTTTATAAACAATCTTTTCTTCTAAATTAAAAGAGATACATTTGATTTGCTATTATTTTATTTGTGTACTTACATACATACTACCACTGTATAATACTACCTAGGCTTTTGCATTTTATAGTTTTGCTTTATATTTTTTGCTTTCAGTGCATCATCAAAGTGCAAAATAAGTGATTTTCAAATTAATTAATTTCGGTTTAAACATTTAAAAAGATTTATTTCAGTTACATCTCTGTTCTACTATTAAACACTGTTTTGACAAAAGCCGTTATACTGTAGCAAAGCTTCATAATCTGAAAAATAAATTTGTAGGTCAATAGTTATTTTCAAATCTTAGAAGCATAAAGACAACCTAAAAAAGTATAATAGTTTTTGGGTTATTATGCCATGACCCATGTACTTGGTTGACAGACTTGGTTGACAGAATTACAGATTTACAATGCACTTCCTTAGCCTTAGCTAGGGATCTTTGGCCTTCCCTTGTTGTTCTTGGGCTAGGCTCTGTGGTAGCGAACCCGCTATAAGATATTAATATTGATTTCGGTTTTTGTTGTTGTTTCCAGGGCTGCTACGAATATACCTACTCCTGTGAGATGTTTCGTAGTGGCCTCTGTGACTGATCGCATCCGCTTCCAAACGTTTCGCCATTCTTCACTGTGAGTATTTTCAGTAGTGACTCTACGAAAGATGCGCCGCGATAAGGTGCATAAGCCACGACATAACAACCCGAAAAAACATGTTTTTTTTTTAATACAAATAAATAATGCACCACCTACAATGGTACAACATAATAACCCGAAGACGTTATAAGGATAATGAATAGTGCTCGACGTAGATCGAAGTGAGGACATTATTATCCTATAACACCCGTGGTGCCTTCAATCTTTAATGTTCTACTAGTCTGTTATTTAAGACGAACTTCCTTTGACATATAACTGATATGTCATTTATTTGACATTTAATTAATAAATATATTTTCTATTACTGAAATGATATATTTATTTGTTTTTTAATTTTCCTAAGGTAAAATAACAGAATAGAAGGAAATTTAAATTTATTAAAATTAGGTACCTACTCTCTTAAATGTGTCGATGGACATGTCTCCGATAGCAGCAGCATTGAAAGTCAATGGTTTCTGCGATCTGATCATCATCAACAGCATGCGCATTCTAGCAGGTTTGTTGTAATTTATCCAGTCAGTGTTGTTATATAAAATGTCAGATATTGCAGTGCTCTGAAATAACACTCTGCCGAAACCCTATAACCCTTTAATATATGCTACCAGAACATACCTGTACTTGTATCTCATTAGCATACCAGAAGAACATAAAAATCTGAGTAATCAGCATGATTAAAATTCCAAATGTTCGGAAGATGTCTAAGGTATTTGTTTCCTTAAAATACAATTATTATTTCTGTTTAACTTAACTCAAGTTGAATAAAATTTGCTTTAAGAACAATTAAAGCCTATTTTTTTTTTTTATTTTATGAAGTTATGGTAAGAAATCATCGAATCATCGAGTGAATGTTTCTAAATGGCAGCAAAAGAACTGAAATTTTACCAACACGATTTAAGAGTTTATTGGCTTTACTGGCATGTGGTGTATACTATAAAATGAATTTCCACAAATAGTTCGAAAGATATAAGTAAAATAAGTTTTCACTCTCTCTCTCTCTCTATATCCAAAAATTTTGGTCGTTTTAAGATGGGCCATTATATAAAACACGTTTTAAAAATACTATATCTACTAATTAATAATTACCGTAAGTAGTTTTACTATGAATGCTGCCAATTCCACGGAATTACTGAAGAAAATAATTAACACAATTTTTTTGCAAGCATTGTCCATCATATGCAATAATCTAAAAAATAAAAAATAATTTTATTTTATTAGAGAATCCTCAAATGATCATAATATTTACACATATCTTCTTCCATTACATTAGTATTATAATTTTATCTATCTAATTTCTAGGGCAGTATTTAATAATTTTTTGTTATTAAAGATAAAACCAAATTTCTTGCCTTATCAAAAAAAGATTATATTAAAAAAGTAAACATATTACATTCTAACTGACGAACAATACTTTAGTGTATGCGACCATACTTGACCCGTTGCCCATAAATTACATTTGCCCTATCATCAATGACTTGCACAAGGTCTTAATCGACTGAGCGTATATCAAACTGGTCAAGTATCTGCACAGAAAGAGAACTATCGACGTCAGTTTCGGTATCCAACATTGTCTACGAAAATGGAATGAATTTCACATCTAAAATTGGAATTGTTCCATCTGCAGACAAATCGTTAAATAATGTGTCCCGCAGAACCCTTATATGACGAAAATTCAGTGAACCTTCTTTATTGAACACATTCTATTAATACCTACACACACGGTTGTCATCCATTGGATGTCCAGTCTCTACTTACTGTACTTTACTATAATTGGAAAGCTGCTTGATGAAGACGACTTCGATTATCAAGATACTGTAGACGAACCTTCAGAATCAATATTTAACACTGACACCTATGAAAATAAAAATATTGAAACTTGCGAAGATTATATGAATTTGGTAGAATCATCGCCAAAACAAAAAGGAAATTGTGATGTTTCACAAAAGAAATAGAGCGGGAAACTAGATAAATCTATAAATTTTCACCTGTTTCAAAGTCAAAAAATATCGACGGTGGACGAAAAATACCAAAGTGGTAGAGAATTTCCGACAAATTTGATTTTAATCACTGTTAGTCGAAAGTTGAAAATAAGTGGGGTATATTTAATAAGAAAAAATCACCCTTACATTCAAAATGATGAGAGCATAAGGGTGCACTCCCGAATGTGGATTTAAATTAACTATAACCTCCCTCAACGATCAGAAAAACAAATGATTGTATAGAATCAATGCAATCTCAGCGATATTTTTTGGCTATCCTTATATTCTTTACCTTCCATCTACAAAAAAATAGACTATAGTTTTAGGAAATTTTCAAAATGTATAAAAAATTCAAATGTTGCATTTTGGAAACATAAACATATATAGAATTTATTTATGTATATTTTTGTTTAAGAAATCCACATAATCCTCAAGTACCTTATGATTTCCTGGTGCTTCTTTACACAACCTCTCATTGTTATCAGCACTGCCTCATCACTATCAATATCTTCGAAGCTTGCTAATTCAGAAGCATTTTTGTCGATGCACCGAATCATATTCTGCAATATTTTGATTTGCCCTAACTCGAACAGCATAAACGTTACTGGAGTTAATTTATTGTAAATGTGTATAGAAACTACACTGCAATAGAACATTAAATCAGTTAGTACAGTTAAAAAATAACATTTATTGTACATATCGAAGGGATACCAAATTTGGAAATTTAGGCCTCTTTTAAGAGCACATAAGGTAGTATCATGCTCCGTCAATGTGTGTCTGACAACCAGAATGTACCATATAGCTCCTGTTATATTTGTCAATAAAGCAAAGAAAACCAGCATCCTTCTGTTTAGGGTCGTATATTTGAAATATATATTTACAGACACATCATTTTCTTTGTGTAATTTTGTTTTCTCGTAATCAAAGATATATTCATAAACTCTCCTCATGCTGGCCCTTCTACATAGCAAACTTGACACGTACATATTGGTGTACTGGATGTAATAACAAATTAGCTCTATAACCCTTTCTGCTGGGCAACTTCTGTAAACAATTATAGACACAAAGATCTGTTGAGTTATCAGAATGACGAATGTTTCAAAGAACATCGAATAGAGCCTGTAGAATTTATCTAGAGCTTTATTCTGGAATCCGACGTACCATTTCCCCACAATAATCATAATGTATTTATGTATATTCAAATAAATAGCATCGTGCTTCACATCTAAAACAATATAGTTTTTCTGTTAAAAGTTATAGAAATTTCACACAATGAGATTAGGTATCTTCATTTGGAATGAATTTAATTGAAAAGAAAAATTTATCAACTCCAAATATTTCGAATTTTCAAGACCAAGAACGGCGGTGACAACATTTTTAACATTAAGGCGATGTTTCACCTTGTATTAGCAGTGACTATAACAAGTATAGTCACTGGTATTAGCTATGTCCTGTCCAAATTTTGTTCGTGCAACTCTCTTGGTTTCGACAATGCCTATGTATGTTTTCAGTCACGAAAATTGAATAATTTCAAATATTTCGAATTTTCACCACCAAGAACGGCGGTGACAGCATTTTTAACATTAAGGCGATGTTTCGCACTGTATTAGCTATGCCCTGTCCAAATTTGGTTAGTGCATATCTCTCGGTTTCGAAAATTCAGTACCTATGTATGTTTTCAGCCACGAAAATTTAATAATGTGATATGATGAAATATAACTTCTTTTCATTTTAGAAATGGTTCACACTAAGGTCGAACGAATTTAAATGATTATATAAAATACAACAAATCATACAAATCAGCCGAATCAGTAGGCAAATTCGATATTAACATCTAGTTGGTCTAGATATAGGTATCTCTTTGTCGTTTCATTTCTTATAATTAGAAAAGTACAAAACAGATCCAGGACATCTAGATACAGAACTTGCCTAGTATCTTCAACCACGTAGCCTCTCGCCGTTATTGCAAATATCTATCATTTGGGAAACGTAATAAAATTATTAAATATTTTTTTAGTTCAAAGAAACTTACCCATATCTTTTCTTGGTACAATTTACTACTCTTATAGAGTTTATAAGTAGGTAGATACCTAATGTTCTCTTACCTGAAATATGAATTAAATAAATTGAAAATTAGTTACTGCTTCGTTCTTTTAATTAAGCCATTTATGTATAATTATTTCTTAATCCTTCCGTAATACACAGTTTTTATTCAAACTAATTATTTTTCTTTCCAGGTGTTATTTTTCACACAAAGGTAATTAATAATTCCTTTTTTCAACTTGCTATTTAAATAAAATAACTGACTGTTCCTATCCTATATGGGATATTTGGAAAGTGGAAAGTTCGAACGATATAGCTACACCCTGTATATACTCACATATTCTGTTAGAACGTAAAATACTCGTAAAATGATATGTATAAACCAATAAAGTTTGATGGGTATATGGCACTTTATGGCGCTGTTTTAGGCGTATCTTCCCCATATTAAAGGAAAAACTCATCAAATATTATTCATTGTAATCCTGAGAGTGTTCTAAAAGCACAAGTAAAAATATATAGGGTCTCCATTAGTTTGCGCAGCAGATATATTTTTAATGGGATGTTCAATTTTCTTTTAATTCATTTTGTTTCTAATTCTATTTTCTATGTCGGTGTTATTTAATTTTTCATTGAAATTAGTTTACTTTTATATTATACAAAGCCACCTGCATAACATTTATTAAGTTATGATTCAGCTTTTTATTTTACTTATTTAGGTAGGTACTTATTACCTTAACAAAAATTTAAATTGAAAAAAATATGGAATGACATATTTAAATGTGAAAATAATGGAGAATTCTTTACCTACCCATTTCAAGTTGTTTTCTTTTAATATTTGGCATTTTTCAAAATTATTTCTTAAATTGTAATTAACATATTTATTCTTCTCCATTAAATGGCATTTTGTCTGCAATTTTTAATTTTTAAAAGAAAGAAAAGTTTTAAAGCGGCAACATAAACATAAATATTTGAAAAAAAAATATTGGTGCTATCAGTACCATATTATACGATTATTATAAAAAGAATGATTTACAAGGGCTAGGGGTTATATTTCATGGCATACAACCTTTTTATTTCAGAGCTGAGGTTATTCGATATTAAAAAAATAATGACTTATTGATTTTGAGATATTAATTTTTAAAGAAATAATTTGACAGATGCAAGTGTCCGCGAAGATGCTAGTAACTCTTTTCAGGAACGTGATATCAAGTGAATTTTTGGTACCCGCAGAGGGCATAGTAAACACTAAATTATGGTATACCAACACATTAAAACATTTAATATTAAGTGTTTTATTTTTGCTGTTGCATTTTGATAACTTTAAACAGCTATAACTTTGTTAACTTAAATGGAACACCCTGTATTTTTACTCTGTCTTATGCAGATTCAAATTTCCTTTCAAGCCATATAAGCGTTGTTTAGGGTTTCCTTTACTACGTTTAAAGATATTTACAATTTTCAATTATTTGGGCAGTTTTTCTCGTATCAGTTACCTACCTGTTGTCAAATTGGCCATGACCAGAAACACTCAAAAACAATTAAAATAACTTGACATTTGTCAAGTTAGTTGTCAAATTAATTGTCAAATTATTGTTGTGTCTGTAATAGTTTTTGCCGAAAATTTAAATAAAAATGCTTGAGAATCGTTTAAATTACCAATGAGGAAATAACAAACAAATTAAAATAGTTCTCATTGGTAATTTAAACGATCCTCAGGTATTTTTATTTAAATTTTCGGCAAAAACTATTAGAGACACAACAATAATTTGACAACTAATTTGACAAATGTCAAGTTATTTTAATTGTTTCTGGTCATGGCCAATTTGATAACAGGGCTGATAAAAGAAAAACTGTTTGAAGTTATCAAAATGTAACTGCTACAATGAAACACCTTATATCAAATGTTTTAATTTGTTGGTATACCATAATTTAGTGTTGCCTATGCCCTCTACAGGTAGGTATCAAAAATCCACTTGATATCACGCTCCTGAAAAGAGTTACTAGGATCTCCGCGGACCCTTGCATCTATCAAATTTTCTCTTTAAAAATTAGTATCTCAAAATCAATAACTCCCAGGTATAGGGAATATTTAATAACCCTCAAAATTCACGTAGAATCCGAAAATGTAATAATACATAGGGTGTCTCATTTAAAATAAGAAAGTTAATGCCGATTTCCGGTATAACCGGAAGTGCAATAAAGTTCTAAATATTTTAGCTGTGTTGGCCCTACTGCCTTTGACAGGTTGCGAAATTTTTAAATTTATCGGATCAGTACTTTCCAATATCGACTGTCGCGTTTCCTGGTGGGACACCCTGTATATATAGTGTCAATGCAGCATGTATGTAATTACTTAATATCTCATATTTTCTGATAGTTCATATATTGTATATTTATTAAAAATAAAAGGAAAAATAAAACTACATATAAGTATATCTAATTTGTTTATACATTAAACCTATACATTTTTTAATGCAGCCTCTATGAGATTTTCGATGGAAGGTAACCTTTTTTTAGACTTCTCTACACAATCAAACAATTCTTCTTCTGTTAATGCACTACCACCTGGTTTGTGAACACAACAAAGTTTGTCACCATTCAATACAATTGTAACGATACCACTACAAAGATTTTCTTCATCTGCAGTTGGATCAGCTAGTATAATTTTGCTAAAAAATAAAGCATTTATTTTGTTTTCAATTTAAAAAAAAACGCAAAAAGTTCACAATTATGAAAATTTTAATATGTACATACTCATCAAAAATAATGAAAGTCGTCGAGATTGGATTTGAACGGACATGTAAAGGTATTCGGTCCTCTAAATTAACTAGCTTGTTGTCTATAGCAGGATCATATTCTACAGATGGCAGTCTAACTAAAAATCAAAATTTTGAAAATTATAAGTAAAAAATAAATAATTATACAGGGGAAAATTTAGTGTGTAATCTCTGAGATTATTGTACTTAGAGAACTGATGATATTGCGGGAAATAACTAGTCTGAGGGCTACATAATTATTTTGAGCATTAAAATAAGGAAAACACTGATAAGAACTTTTGTACTAAATATATCAATTCCGAGACATAGGTATGCTTTTTTCATTAGTTTTCGAATTTTTTGTAAACCTTATATACGACATAAAAGGATTTTGCCACCATTTTTTTTACAAATTTTTTATTTGAATTCGATACATCAGTAAATTTGAAATCATTCCGTGGTACTTTTGATGTTTTAAATACACATCACTATGCATAAAAAATATCTTGCCAAATTTTTCAAATACAATGCAAATAATTGATATTGTATGTTAATGTTTTTTTTCTTTCAGAAAAGAATTTTTACTAAAAATTACAATTTTTTAGTAGAAAGAAAATATCAACTGCCCTCTGCCTCTTCATCACTACGAGTGAGGAAAATATTATAACTCTTTCCCTGCATATTCCCACACATATTGAACAGTTTACACACTGTTTTGTACTTATTAGGTATTACCTGTTCGTAGAGCTCCCATTAAAGACAAAACACATGCATCCACTACAGCTCCATCAAAGTCTAGACAAATAAAATCAATGAATAGACACCAGGCTAGTTTATCCGGGAAAATGCATAATTCTTTAAGATCAATGCATTCCGAGTTTTCAATAATGTCAGCAATAAGTTGTGTTAATACCTGTGCCTGATCACTTGGAGGACCTGGTCTAAATTTTGGAGAACATAAAGGGGGTAACTCTAAATTGGGGACAATGAATCCTTCTCTTGGTGTCTCGGCTTTAGGTTTACAGAATTCCTAAAAAAAATAATTTCAGAATATTATCTGAATTGTCAAGTTTGCAGCAAATTATTTAAAATACTTACAGCCTTTATTCCACATACAACAGTAGTTCTGCCTATTTTGGCTATAGCTGAACCATCAGCTGTATCTATTGAACATACGTTTAATATAATTGGTCTGAACTTGTCAAAGTCTCTGCCATCCGGACGAATATTGTGTGATAGATAGTCTCGATAATACTTAGCAGGATGTAAGGACCTAAAAAGAGAATTTTAAATAATTATTTCACACTAAGAAATATTTTATTCTATTAAAGTTGTATTATTTATAACTGATACATTAAAATAATGAACTTTACATACTTATATTGCTTCGCCATGATGAATTTGATTTAATTAATTATTTATCATTATATTTCAAATTAAAATATTTAAAAAAATGTATTATAACCATGTGGCTCTGTTTTGATTGTTTCATTTGACGGACTTTTGACAGATAATAAACTAGTACGTCAGTAATTTTTGACATTTCATTCATTCAATTGGACAGAAGCTAATTTCCTTATTGCGTGGGGGAAATCTTTCAATATTCAACTTTATACAAGGTAATCGAAATGTGTATCATAACGTTTAATTTCATGATTGTGAATAACATATTGTTACGTAATATTCTGCATTCTAAAGTATTGATTATATATTAGGTGCCGTATAAAATATAAATATCTTCACTTACAGATTCAAACACCAGGTGACCAACTTCCTGAACCATCATTGGTGCACCTCCACCTATGCCAAGCGAATGTTCAACCGACTCAGCTGTTCTTTCCCGCATTTGTAAACGATTCTGAAGAAGAGTGAAGTGACCGTTGGAAATTTATTTTAGCCGTTAGGAATTAGGTCTTTTGGGCGGAGGAGGACGCGAGTTAAACTCATTTTTAATAAGCAAGATGGCTACAATTAGAATACATGAAGATCAGGAAAATCGCGTACCTGAAATCCGCCAAAAACAAGCCACCATGGCGGTCCAACAAAAACGGCCGGTATTAGGACTCATTGAAAATGATAAACAGCGGACAAACATACTAAACAAAGGAAAACAGGTGAGTGAAGGCTCACTATAATTTCCACAAGCTAATTTGATAATTTATTTTCCTCAGCCACTGGGTTTAGCTAATTTGAAAGTTGGTGTAAAGAAAATAAACGAAAATGAAGACTGCCTTAAAGAAAACCGTAAAAACTTGGTCAATCCAATCGTCCCAGTTGCACAATTTCAGGCATTTAAAGTTTACGAAGATAAATCTTACGATGAGCGAATGGTTCATATTGAGGAAAAACTTAGACAGAAACTTAAGCCAAGTAATTCAATTATACAAGTGTACAAAGGAACTTCAGAAGATAAAAGGTTTTATACAAAAACAGAAGTCGCAGAAATGGAAAAGAAAAAAATTGAGGAAGATGCAGCCAAAGGTATTTTCCATACAAAACCATCCGTTACAGATAGTCCCCAGGTAATGAGCATCGAAAAGTCATTTGATGATTCTCTTAATCTCATGGAAAATGTGTTGAAACCCTCCAAAAGCAATAAAGATCTCTTTTTCGAAATGGAGGAATATCGAGATGATATTTATAGATATCTGCTTGAGCATGAGGTAAATATGATTTATATTTTATTTCCATTTCTAATTAGTTTCATTAATAGTTCAATTAATGAATCTACTAAATATAAAACAAATAACAAATCAATTGCTTTATATTATGCCTAACATATTTAATTTCTTTAAAAGCTACGCCATCGTCCAAAACCAGGTTATATGAAGAAGCAGCCTGATGTTACCTCAAACATGAGGACCATTTTGGTTGACTGGCTCGTGGAAGTCGCTGAAGAGTATAATCTGCATACTGAAACTCTCTACCTATCTGTCAATTTCATTGACCGCTTTCTTAGCTACATGTCTGTGGTGAGGGGAAAGTTGCAATTGGTCGGAACTGCTGCAATGTTTTTAGCATCGTAAGTGCTCTCTTCCACAAAAATATCCAAATAGCAACATACGGTGTGTCCAAGAAGGGGTACAAACTTTTAATATGATGAATAAAATTCACATATTTTTTTTATTAACTAAACCGCATTTTTAAAAATTACTAGCAATTTTTTATTGGAGATTTAATAACACATTCTGCATTTCGATTACTTAACTTTTTATTAAGTTTTTCTGATTCAATGTCAAAAAATGACAATTTGTAATTAATTAATACCTAAAATTTTTTGTGCATATGGGCATACTTGATAAAAATAATTGAATTTCGTTAGTTTTTTTATTTTGTTAATGGCTTGAGGAACACCTATAAATCGGAACATACTGTATATTTATAAATCAAATAGTTAAAAAAAAATAGAGTGCTGTGCTGAAGTTCATAAATTCTGTTATTTTGTTTCAGAAAATATGAAGAAATATATCCACCAGATATTTCAGAATTCGTATATATCACTGACGATACTTATAGCAAGCGACAAGTTATCCGCATGGAACACTTGATTCTGAAAGTTTTAGGGTTTGATCTTTCTATTCCTACGCCTCTAACATTCATTACTGCCATGTGTGTAATGAACAATCTGAGCCAAAAGACAATGTATCTCGCAATGGTAAGTTTAAGCTGATTCTTCTCATCATTTTTATCTTTTTTTATCTTTAACTCGAAAGTTGCTTCAATCGATGTGTTTCTACTATTATGTATGTGTCATGTTTAAAGTATTGTTGCTAGTATACAGGACATACTTACCAATTTTGACCGTGTTGGGGAGGATATTAACATGAAGTAATTTAGATGTTTCGAGCTTGATTTTTGAGAAAAACTGAACTACAAAACCCACATCTGCATATCTGATTTGTTTTATATAAACTGTTTTTCATTTTTGGCGGATATTGTAATGTCAATGGAAATGTTTTGGTTCTTGTAAAGAGGTTTTTTTATTGTCTTTTGTATAGAATCCAGTTTGTTTTTCTATAACTTCCAGTTTTTCAGTATTTTTATGTTCGAATTAATGTTTTCAATTAGATGTTTAGATGTATCTATAAAAACCACTCCATAACGGTTAAAATTGGCTCATCTTGTATATTATAATATACAGTGTGTTACCTACAAATTAGTAGGTCAAGCAGTTAACTACGTAGCCTTTGGATTAAAATAATGGGACTTTTCTTATACCACTTTTCATTTCGGAGACCCATTTTTCAAAATTCAGGGTATCAAAATCAAAATTTAAAAAACGATTTTTATTGATAACTCTCCGGTGATTGTAGAGATATTTATTTGAAATTTAGCACATATAGTCAGCGCACTCTTTGTGTAATTTTGGTTCAAAATATCAAAGCGTGAACGGGGGGAGGGGGTTTCCAGTACCCATGGACCACCTATTTTTTTTTTTTTTTTTTGAGTACGCCGATGCTTTCGGAATATTTTTTTTTACTTTGATATAGACCAAAATTACACAGAAAATGTGCTGACTTAAGATCAAAATATGTGCTAAATTTCAAATAAATATCTCTACAATCGCCGAAGTTACCGATAAAAATCATTTTTTAAATTAAAATTTTTAAAAATGGGGCTTTGAAATGAAAAATGGCATAAAAAAAGTCCCATTATTTTAGTCCAAAGAATAAGTGGTTAAACGCATGACCTACTAATTTGTATCACCCTGTATAGTAGAAATGACCTGAATTTTTTGGGTAAAGTTAATTTTTTCAAAACACCCTGTTTATCGCGTTTCCTAATAAGTTAAGGATAACTTTGATTACCAAATTTTTTAACTAAGAAATGTAGAACAATGCTCAAATTTAAATGATTTTTCCATGATTGGAAACATTGAAGTTGCAATGTCTATATTTACTTTTTTTTTTAAGTAATAAAAAGTGAAGTGCGAGAAGTCTGCTTTTTTTGGTGTAAGATTTTTGAATAAGCAAGAAAATTTTAATAAAAACTCCCTTGACTTTTTGGTGCAAGGGTTTCTGTTTTTTTGTCCATTGCAAATTTCAATTTCAGTTTTTTTTTTTTCTTAAAAGAAATATGAAATATGATTTTCCAAATGTAGCAAAGTTTTTTTAATAGAGTAGACCATAAAATTGGCATAGAATCGGAAATTACATTCTAAAATTTGAGAGGTTTGCTGTTCAGTGTTTTCTGCTTTTAAATAAACCTGTTGCTATTTTATTTTTAGTATCTCGGTGAATTAGCTCTTCTCAATGGAGATGTCTACTTGGAATTCTTGCCATCTACAATTGCCGCCTCGGCTATAGCCATCGCTAGGCACACTTTAGGCGAAGTAAGCTGGAATGACCAATTGGCCAAATGTACAGGTTACGAATTAAAACAACTCAAAGGAGCTGTGGAGTTTTTGACACATATGTTCACTATTGCTCCTACATATCCTCAGCACGCGATACAAGACAAATATAAGCACCAGAAGTACATGCACGTATCACAACTAACCCCGAAAGAGTCTCCGATTGGTTTTAATTAAATTATACATTTGTTTTTAAGACTGGAACATGGTACGCTTTTTATGTGCCTTGAGTAATTTTGAATTTCTATTTTTATAGTATATTGGACATGTAAACATGTATTTTAACATTTTTTTCTTTATTTATTAACATAAATAAACATTTTTATTTTAAATTTCTGCCATTTCTTGTTTTTACTTTTGTACGAGTCGACAACTTTTATAAACAGAGTAATTGCAATTGTACAGTTTATGATTATTTATTTTTAGTGTTTAATTTTAAATGTTTTAGAGTTAAGGTATGATAAATTTTAATTGTTACTTTGTCACAGTCAGATTATTTGCTATAGAATTTTTCTTTTGATACCAAAATGTACTACTTTTTGTTTACAATAAACGAAAACGATTAGTTATTTTTTTTTATAAAATGTACCTTGTGGTTCTCAACCATTGCTTTAGAACGCGATTAAGCAAAGAGAAAACATTTTAATAACACCCTAAATACATTTTTATTTGATGAATGATTTAAAATTTATGATAGTACACTAATTTTGATATTACTTGAAATAATAAAATTCATTATCCAGATTATGTACCGTTTTATCATTAATAATGAAATTAACTTTTCTATATTTTTTTCTTGCAAAACTTGTATAATCTAATGTCTGTGTTGATCAACAACAAATATGCATTAAATAAGTTTACTAAAATACCGAAAATTCAGTGTTTCACTGAAATACATATAAATATTTACATTTTTGTAGATTCATATTTTAAAGGGTAGCGCCGCTCTAGAATTTTGTAAAAATCAATTTTTGGATAAATGGTCTAAACCAGCAGTCTTCAACCTTTTACGATTTGCGGAACCAATATACAGGGTGTGTGGTAAGTATATGGTATACTCTCGGGACTGTATGGCGAGGTCAAAATAACCCTTGTTTGTCATAAAAAAAATTCCTAAAGTGCCCCTTAACGGAGATACAGAGCGGTACCCAGCGATTCACCTTTTCAGTTCTAACTTTTGAACCGACTTTTAATATTTTATGTAGGCCGTGAAAGCTCAAAACCATACTACAGTAGATGTTTTATACTGTCGGGGAAGTCAGGAATGGACTTGCCACCACACTCGTTTGACAGGTGTCATTTTATAGATCTGAAAACTGAATTTTTAAATACTTTGGTTATTTCTCTTTAAAAAAGGTGCTCTGCATGTGTTTCGATAAAATCAGCCGTTTTCGAGAAAATTCAGTTTTTGTATAACACGTTTAAACATTAATTTATTTAATTATAAAGTTTATTAACATAAGCTATTTAAACACAATAATAATCGAATAATATCACAACTAATAATTCATATTAAAATAATAAAATTTGGCATTATTGCATCTCATTATGGACAAGCAGCACTCGACAATTGTGTGGAGGCAAGAAGAATTTGTTCTGATACATTTCTAAATTACTTAAACGCAAGGCTGTTAAAAAAAAGCTTTGCTTCATCTTGTTTCCTTCAGCAGATTTTCGAAATGGTCACCTCTATACATTTCGTTACCCGACGGATGTTTTCTCGTACTGGAAATAATATTCCAAAATTGTCTCAATTTCGTTGCAATTATTCTTTCTATCAGGTTTTCTCTGGTGTGTCGTCAAATACACAAGCCTCTTTAAATTTTCCCATAAAAAGAAATCCAATGGAGTCATGTCGGGTGACTTCGGTGGCCATAAAATAGGCTCACCTCGACCTATCCGTAACCAAAAGTATTTGATAAGTCCTGACGAACTAAATCGCTAAAATGGGGCGACGCACGCCATACATAAACCACATCTGATTACATGAATGACCCACTTTGTCGCATGAACTTTGACCGATGGACCGACAGCTTTCTCAGAATTAGAGGGATTGATTTGACTTTTTACCTCTTTCTCGTAAGTTACGATCAATCCTTTCAAAAGTTTTTCGGTACGATAAATGTCGATTTGGAAATGATTAGAACAAATTCTTCTTGCCTCATTACAATTGCCGAGTGTTTGTCTATAAATTAGATGCATGTCAGCATATTCACTATAGGAACAATGCTCCATTATTTAGTCTTGTGTACTCAATCAATCAGATAATTTTTACAAGTGTTGTCAATAACGACAAAAAACGTAGTATTTTATTGCAGAATTCTGATTTATTATTTCAATGACGTGTTCTACAAAAACTCAATTTTTTCGAAAACGGCTAATTTTGTCGAAACAAATGTAGAGTAAGTACCTTTTTTAAAATTTTCAATGAATTGACTTGAAATTTTACACAGACATAATTCAAGGAACATTTCAGGATTTTCATTCTTTTTTTGGTACTTTTTAAATGTTCACTAAATCAACAATTGTTGCTCACCATCACCTACAGGCGCTATTTTGAATCCAAATCATTTGAAAAAATTCACAATAATTAAAAACGTACTATAAAGACATTCTGTTCCTGCCACTATATGTTGTATCGATTTTTCGTAGAAAATTCCCGAAAATCACCTCTTTTTCCAACCTCTAGCATGGCACTACCCCTTAATCGATATTTGATACTCTTCTCTACACCAGTGGTGGCTAGTAGAAATTAAAATGGTCATAAACGTGAAAGATAAATATGAGTTCATATTACCAGTGGAAATATAAAAGTCTTCTAACTCTCAATCCTTTACTGTAGACAGAGACGGCTTTAGGGGGTGGCGAGCAGGGCAATCGCCCAGGGCCTTGCACAACAACCCGAGTAAAAAAAATTTATATTTAAAATTTAATTTTATTCTTAGCTATTAGTTATAGAGGTATATGACAATAAAATAAAGTTAATATATTAATATTTAATAAGTAGGTAGTATGCCTAAATAAAATTTCTCATTTAGATTTATTTAATGATCGATATCAAAATTGATTAATTTATCAATGGATAATAATATTTTCTGTAATTTGACTGTAAAACATAATTGAAAAATAGGTTTAAAAATCATTATTAAAAATTTGTCGTCTTTGTATTTCTTAACTTTAAAAATCTCAATATAATATTTGAAAACTCAAAATTTATAACTTTTGCATTTCTCTTAAATCATCGGAAATATCTACATTCGATTTACGTACATTTCACAAAGAATAAGGGCCTCTCAAAGATCTGCCGCCTAGGGCCTCGCAATGGTTAAGGCTGCCTCCGATTGTAGATATTGATTACATACGACTAGTTTTGAGGTCAAAACATAAACAGAATCCTTAAAGAATCACAGACTGGTTGCACATATCTGCGATAATTTATCTAAATTATTTAAATGCTGATATACAATATTGTTTACAGTAGTCCACAGAGGTCGGAGGGATAAAATAATGAACTTATAATGCAGAGTTCATAGAGCTGCAACTCCCTACCACCGCTTTTTCAACTGTAGGGTGTCAATTAAACGTGTAGCCACTACACTGTAGCATATCAGTCCCAAATGTGATAAACGGAAAATAAAAATAAGGTGTAATTAAAATAAACTTTAAAAAATCACATTTGCAATATTAATTATTACAACTGCAAAAATTTTTGATAGATTCACTATCAAAACTGAAGTAACTTTTACCTTACATATTTTGTTACTAAAATGAATAAGGCATCAATTAGAAAATTTGTTTCTATACATTTATTAGATTCATCTTAAGTATAAAAGGTTTCTAAAATCTATATCACAATTTATCAACAGCTTATTATGTGATGGTTTTTTAGTGTATAGAATAAAAATTGTTTGTAAAATATTAACATAAAAATTTTGAGTATTGCCCTCTTTGCAAAGGTTAAATAAAAACTATATATTAATGTTCTATGAATTAGAAGCTCTCAATTTCATTAGGAACAAATACAAAATCATTTTCAATATCACTGTCCTGTATTTCTTTCTCAATATCCTTTATAACTTCTTGTAATACAATTTCTACTTTATCTCTTGAAGCATCAATAATTTCCAGGAAGTCGCTTAAAATATGTTTTTCTTCTTGTAATTGTTTTATAGTCTCTGATACTACTTCAACTGTGGGATGTTCCGTCATCCAATCTTTGATCAATAAAGTGATATCAACTATAGTAAAAGCAACAGAAATTGCACTTGAAACCCGTCCTACCAATTTAAAAAAAGCGGCGGAATGCCCTGGTAACCCAAATATCCTTGTTATAAATTGGTAGGTCTTCTCTGATATGTGAATAGTTTTTCCTATTACGGGAAGTGTATCTAGGGCCACAGCTTCAACATGATGCATTTTTATTATGGTACTCAGAGTAGTCATCAACTTCATGTTTGGTTCTGTTGTAAGATCAATACAACCACTAGCAATACCTACAAAAAATTGGCTCAATACTGGATACAGCAAAACATTGAAATACTCATATAATAAATGATAATCATACTTTCTTACCTTTTATCGCTATTACTGTAGCACTATATTTATCGAGTCCGCTCTCCATTAACTTTTCAATAACCATAACAAAGTTACGTAACTGTGTCCTAAGATTTTCTTCAAATTCCTCTTTACTCTTTATAATTAACTGAATATCATTCATAATCATTGTTGAGGTTTTATAATCTACATAGTCGACAACAACGTTTGATATACCTCCAGTAATAGACATTACTGCTCCACTGGTCCCAAGAGCTAAAGAACTACCTCCCGTAAAAGGGGAAAGCAGTACTGATCCTACTAGTATTGCTACTCCAGTACTACTAAATGCTGTACTAGCAGTTTTTGCAATATTGCAGCTCTGGTGGTGATCTGCTATTGTCTTGAGTAAATCATTTAATTTGACTATAATTTCGTCCAATTTGTTTATATAGTTTTTTAGTAACTCTTCAAAATCACTACAGTTAGTATTATCTAAATTCATTTTAAAAGGTCACTTAAAACAGTCAGAAATGTATTTAACACAAATTTATTGCAACCATGAACTTTAATGCACAAAGAATTTCAATTGTATTTTCAATTTATTACGACGCAATTACACAAATAAATTATAATAACGATAAACAAAGTGCTGAAACCTGTAGCTGAAGCTGAAACTGAAATAGTATAAAACCAAGGTCGTTGAAATAGAATGCCCACTCTTGTACTTTTGAAGTCTGTACTTTATTGTGGTAACGCGTTGTAAGGCGCGCAAAGCCGGGAATTCATAGAACAGAAAACACTGGATTATATAGATTTAAACAAATAAATTCCTAGAAAGCAGTCTGATGATGTGTAATATATAGGAGTATAAAACAAATGTTATGTTCTATGTCCGTACTGATTTGTATTAGGTATTTTGTATACTCTTTAACGGCTGCTTGTATCGATAAAATGCAATTGAATTGTACTATAATAAATCAATCTTATTGATCTAAGTATATGGATTAGTTTAAGCCGTTACATTTGGAGGTTTAACAAATTTAAACAGTACTTTATCACCGTCTTATTTAACTGCAATGAATTTTGGGAGTTTATTGTTTTTTTTGTAATTATTTCTCTTGTAATTGGAATCAGAAGGATTGTTACCCTGTAAACGGTTTTATTTTTTATTTCGTTATAACTAGACAATAATAAGGATCTTTGTTTAAATTTGGGGACAGACTACTACTGGTGCATTTTATTTGTAATTTTTTATGTGCTGCAATAATCTTTCTTACACAATTTTTTATTTCCATAAAACTCTTTTAAAACTGTAGTAACTGTCAGAAGAAATGGGGTTGAATTCGATTTCCATTTTTCTGAGGCTCTATTTTTCTGCTGTACGGAAATATCAAGTATCGATTTTTTTTGTTTTCTACGATAAATACTTGTACTGTTACTTTTTTATTCATTTGAAAAAATTTGCAGTACATGCCTGTCTCTCGCTCTCTTTTGAATAATACTTTATTTGTATTTACAGCCTTCGAACCTTTACATTTTAATTTTTACAACACTGAATAGAAATTTTCAATATTTCAATCAGATATTAGGAAATCGATAGTTAAGATTATGGTAACAATATATACATTGAAATAAAGAACTAACCTGCTTGTAGTAAGTTCATTTTACTCGCTTAACAAAGCTGGCTCAAAATGCGGGTGGTGCAATACCTATCTGAATTATATCATCTGTATTTTTGAACTACCAAGTACCTGCAGATAAAGCGTACATGTTCATACATCCAAACCAACCTACAACCACAACCTACCTACCTCTAACTTCGTTCGCATCACATCATCACTCATCACTCTTGCCCGGTCAAATGTCAGTTAAAATCATGATTTTTACATAATTATACTCTTAATATATTTCTCTACTGATAATTATAAGAGAAGAATAATTTACTATCCAAATTCAGTCTGTTTTAACCGATTACATCTTATAGGTTAGTACGTTAAAAGTAATAATATATGTGCTCAAATTTTCGAGGTTATAATCCAATGTGCATCTCTTTCAGATTATGCACCGAATAAATCTCAACCAAATTCGTAATGCCGTTACAAATGGAGTAAGTTCATACATCTTCATGTATACAATATGTATGCCTTAAATATTTGTTTCATACAATTTTATTACAGGTTCGTTTGTATTCAAAAGAGCCCCAGAGACGACAGTCTTTCCTTTCGAGGTTATATGACAATTTTCGTGAAGAAATGGCGAAAAATAAAGAAATGAAAGAGTCCTTAAAAAAATTTCGAGAAGAAGCAGAAAAATTAGAACAAAGTGATGCTTTGAAAGCGGCTAGACAAAAATTCGAATCTGTTGAAAAAGAAGCAAGTAAGGGTAGTGAAGTTTTCAAGGAAAGTCTAAGCACTCTTAAGGAGAAAGTGCAAGGAGTTATAGATGAAGCTAGTAAATCGGATATCGCCAAAAAAGCTGGTAAATTTACAGAGGAAGTCGGCAAAAAGACGCATAGAATTAGTGAAAAAGCTCAAGAAATTAGTAAAACAGGAGCATTTCAAAGTATTTCTGAAGCTACAAAGGCAGTTAAAAAAGAAATTGATACTTCCAGTATAGAAGGTGAATAAAAAAAAATGCTATATATTGTATTAAATTTATCTGATAAACTTTTTTTATAGGTAAAGTATATGTGAGTCCTACAAAATTGAGAAAAAGAACTGAAACCAGTGCTGTTGTACACCAGAAATATTACGAACCCAACACAGATGCAACAGGTGTAGAACTTCATAAAGACTCTAAATTTTATGAATCGTGGCAAAATTTTAAAAACAATAATCCATATGTGCACAAAGTTATGGATTGGAAATTAAAATTCGATGAAAGTGAGAACCCCGTTATTCGTGCTTCGAGAGCGCTTACTGAAAAAGTAACGGATATTATGGGTGGGTTATTTCAAAAAACTGAATTATCTGAAACTTTAACTGAAATTTGTAAAATTGACAATTCGTTTGACACTAAACGTTTTTTAAAACAGTGTGAAACAGACATTATTCCTAATATATTGGAAGCAATGACAAGAGGAGACTTAGAAGTTTTAAAGGACTGGTGCCACGAAGGTCCTTATAATTTATTTGCTATTCCAATTAAAGAGGCCTACAAAAAAGGTTACAAACTAGAATCTAAAATATTAGACGTTGACAATGTAGACTTGGTAATGGGAAAAGTTATGGATCAGGGACCAGTACTAATTATATCTTTTACTTCTCAACAAGTAATGTGTGTAAAAGATGCTTCAGGTGCGATAGTTGAGGGCGATTCTAATAAAGTTATGAGGGTAAACTACGTTTGGGTGCTCTGTAGGGACACCTCAGAACCTGATCCAAGAGCTGCATGGCGGTTATTAGATCTCTCGGCAAGTAGTAACGAACAATTTGTATAGGATAGTAAAATTGTATTAAATTGGTCAATAAATTTTGAACTGGGTTTAATGGATGTCATAAATTGTATTAAATATGACGATGAAATTTTTGTTTAAAAAGTTTTTGGTTTATCCGTTGTTATTAGTTTCAAAGATAAACCAAAACAGGTTATTACTATTGCAGTATATTGCTGACTTCGTAAGATTTACATTTATTTTAAACGATTATATCAAACACATAAATAAAACAATTGTGAATAAGTACAAAATATCTAAATTTCCCTTTAGTTCTTGTAGTTCGGATAAATTGTGGTTTTAACGGTGAGTTCCCAACTTTCATCTCTTTAACGAATGTGATATTACAAAATATTTTTGTTGATTAACCTACTGAATAGATCAGAATCGGCTTTAGTTTATGATTCTGTATTTAATTGTACAATTTTTTTTGTATAGATGAAAACAATGTATATTTAATATCTTAATATACTTTTCCACTAAATTATTACATTTTTTTTTGTTTTTTATTGACAGACCTAAAATTTACCTACTTAAAATATGTATGTGGACATTAACAATTATAAACGTAGTTATTTTGAGACATTTTGAAATGGTTCCTACATTTTTAAATTAAATGCAAAAATAGACCACGAGATGTGATAAAAGTGCGAGATAATAATTTTTACTGTTAAAAAGCTTTTCATTCAAATTTTTTTAATAGCCAAGAAAGGTAGTGTAAAATATTAATCCAATTTGTCTAAAAAAATGTAAAATACACCACACAGTTTGAATATTTTCTGCGATTAGGTTTAAAATGTTTATAATAAATAAAAAAAGGACACTTGGAAAATTATTTAAAAATATTTATGTGCACACCACTGGAATTTTGTTAACTACATTATTATATTTGTTATATAAAAAGTTTACACAAAAAAGAGCAAAGAATTTAACGAGGTACTAAAGAAAAGTTATCACAGCTATGTAATTTCAGCGAATTGAATTATTGATTTTATTATCATTATTATTTATTAGTTCCTGCTATTGTTAACTGTGATTAATAAATTAATAAATATTTTAATTTTAATCAATATGATTAGTACCTACGTGATATTACAACTGTTCGCCGATTCTTTAAACACATTTGAGCATGTCTAACACGGTTAAGGAACCAAGACAAATGTTCATTCTTTTTGCTGGTCTTGCAATTGTAGAATAGCAGCAGCTCTATAATGCAATATGTTCACGTAAATCATCAATAATTTCCCTTTTAATGATATATTTTATTTTTTAAATGTTCCCATAAAAAAGTTGACAGTATTTAAATCAGGAGGTTGCAGTGGTCATGCTACTGGTCCTATTTGTCCAATCCACCCTTGAATTCATTAAGATAATTTTGTCTATAATAAGGGACGTACCATCGTGCTAGAACAGCATTTGTTGTCGAATAGCTAAGGTATACCTTCAAGAAGTCCAAGTAAATAATTTAGAAACCACCGTGGTAAAGGTGACAGCATTTGACAAATATCTACTCGGAATACCTCTATTAATGTCTTGCTTCGCCATAAATTTAAAATATCTATTAATTATGTTACACACGTCATTTTGAGACTTATGTAAACAATGAACCACGGTAATAAGAACACTATGAAAACCACAGTAATATTGAGAAATAAGGTTTTGTTAAATCAAATCCACTGGGAATCTGTAAAAGCGTGAGCAAAAATATTTAAAAAACCTTTAAAAAACACTAGTCGTCCAGCTACATAGTGCATTTACTCGTTAATACAAAATTCAGAGTTTCTTTAGGACAATTTGAGGTTGAAAAATTACAGTGAATATCCTTAGTTTATCATAGTTTTGCAAAATTATGCCAAATTATTCAAATATTACGAAATTTTTACTTTTTTCCATCCAACACTTTCATTTCGATTTTTTTTTTTATCAAAAATCAATAATTACGACTTGTAGAGAATACTTTGGAGTTTTCAAAACCCTACTTGAACTTTCTGTACGATCATTTTCCGAGTAATTGATTGCCAAAGTCAAAAATGACATTTTTACTTTAATCGATGATAACTCATCGTACAGGGCTCCAAAACCGCTCAAATCGAAGGGAATTAAATGATCTAATAGAGCTTTATGGTGAAATGACAAAAAAAATTATTGAAGTCCATATATCTTTTTAGACAATCAAAAATTTGAAAATTTTGTTTCATTAGTTTTCTTATGATTACTCAAAAACTGCTGACAATAAAATTTTTAAACTCCAGATCTGAAAACTAGAAATTTGATGCTTCAATTTCCTTTTTTCTGATTCTCTCTACGATCATTTCCCTCCAAGTTACAGCTCTTTGAAAATCACCCAAAAATTTGTGATTTTTTTAATCTCGCTTAATTTTTCTGTGCAAATATATTAGTATAACTTTTTAGTGATGTCGATTCTATTTTTAATGGCGCATATTTTTCAAAATTGGATAAATTCAGGACACCCTAATTTAGGTCGAAAGTGCGGTTCAAAAAAGTATTTGATTGAAATTTAATTAATTAATAACGTTTATGCAAATTTGGTTAGATGTATTTGTTAAAATAATTATAAGTTTAACATTTTCAGTTTCGTCTTAAACAGACATAAAAAATCATTATTTTTAAGAGTATGAGTAAAATTGAAATATTTTTTGATTTTTCAGGTACTTACACAATTTTTTTACAATCATTTTGTCATTAGAAAATTTTAATTTATTGCCATTATCGAGGTAAACACCATTATTATAACCGACTTTACATAATAGCTACAGACTGCTTTATGAAGAGCACTGGATGTAATTTGTGATTTTAAAAAAAGTTCAATACATATTTACAACCAATAAAAATGACAAAAGCATACACACTTTTTTACAAATTAAAAACCTAAACTATATTCATAATAGTTTCAAACGCAAAACATCCATTAAACTAATTCTCAAATGAAGCAAATTTAAATTTGAAGTAATTGTCAGTTTCACTCTTGCATTCTTGCTTTATTAACATTTTAATTCTTCAAAGGGTCATTATTAATAATAGTATTGACATTCAAAAAAAAGTTTTAATGAATGAAATAAAAGTTTACATTGGACAAAAATAGGTTTTATTTATCCAAAAATTCAAATATATTACATGTCCTTTAATGTATTTGATGTAGCAAACATTTTTACCTACAATCATCGCCATTGTAAGCTCTTAGTATCGTTCAATTGACTAACTTCAACATCCTGTCCTTGTTTAATTGCCTTCACAGCTAATCTTTCATCACTTAACATTTGCCAGACAGATTGTTTTGACAACAAGCCTTTGCATTTAATCGTTTTTGAAATGAATTCATTGGAATGAGGAATATCTACAAATAGGTATATAGTTTTTAGATTGATTTTAGAAAAAATGATGTTTAGTCCATGTCTGATTTGATATGAAATATTAAGTAAAATAATTATCAAAACACCATCAAGTAAAATTATTAGTGGTTTTTAGTTATTAAAGTTATTAATTTAAACATTTGCAAATGTTGATTAAATTGATTAGGTATAAAAGAATCAGATCTTGCACTCATAATTTTTTCTGAAGCGTTGTAAATATAAACAATAACATCTTCGTCTCAGGCAATGTAAAACAAAACAAAATTTTCAAGCAGTCCCAGACAAAAAAATAATTGTATTAAGATCAGGTGATCAAGAAGACCAAGCAATGGAAAAATGATTGCTCTAACATTTCAGCTCACATTTTTCAAAATTTTTAAATGCGCGACTTGCTTTATTTTTGGTGGTCATTTTGTGCACTACCTGCTGAATAATTTTTTAAAGATATTAGAAATTCATATTTTCTATTAAAATTTTTTTCCTCAACAATCCATTATTTTTTGTGCGTTGGATAATCTGGACTGAACTGTATCATTAAACCACATACAGGTTCGGAAAGTCCCCATGGTTCATCGGCCGTTACGTGAGAGTGATAAAGTAAGTCATAGAAATCCGTGCGATAGACAAGGATGATTACGTTGAAGACGTTTCATAATCTCGCACTTCTAACTCGAAACGGGCGATGACTATTCAGATTATGAAACGTCTTCACTATAGCCATCCTTGTCTATCGCTCGGATTTCTTTACTTAATTTGTCGCTCTCATGTAAAGGCAGATGGACCATGTGGACTTTCCAACCGTATATCACATATCACACATATATCACAAGTGTTATTACTTACCAACTTTTTTATTCAGTTTGAGATTCCTAAAAATACATACATATTATTAGCACAATTTAAATTTTGTGGATTTAAGAAGTATTATATACCTACATTAGGATGACCCAAAAAAAAGGAATATTTTTTTCTCGTGTCTCGTAAAAATATGTTAGTTTATCATGTTTTAAGAGCCCCCTCAAAAAATCAGTTCAAAAAAATATTTTTAGAGGCCGCTCAAGATTTTTAAAAATTTCCTAAATAGTCAAAAATTGAATTTTTTTTCTCGTTATTTTGTCATTTTCTAGGTTGAAAAAAATCTCGATTCTTAAAATTTCAAATCAATATTTTAATTTCTAAAGGTCACTCATAATTATTTTAACTTTAAAAAGTAGTGTACCTATGTTTTCGAGTGATCTCTAAAGATAAATATCAACGAACTAATAATTTTTTTTTATTGAATTTGATGAACAAAAGAATAGAAATAAATCACGAGACCCTTAAATTTTAAAAAATTATATACATTTGATATTCACAGTGCGGTAGTAAATTTTACCTTAAGAAATTTTTTAAGTGTACCCCCGTACCTGATAAACCTCCTTAATTTTTGTACAAAAATAACAATGGTGAAACAATTTTGTTCAAGGGTATACGTATGTACTACTTGAGAAACGAGCTTTGAAATATAACTTACTTATTTTGGATGAAAGCCTCCTTAGGTATTTTGTTATTAATGAAGCGATCTGTAAAGTTGAGTAACGAAGTTTTTAAATCATAATGAAACTCTTCCAATAATCTAAAATTGCAAATTTTAAATTAAAAAACAAAGCATAGTTCATATTCGTTAAATAGTAAAATTAGTTTAATGGATAAGTGAACCCCAAACAGTAGAATCTTTTTCAAAAAAGAATGAAATTATTCTATACTTTCTACCATATCGGCACTATTTGTGTTTTAACAAGACCTGTCAAACGAAGGAAATATGTTTTGCTGTGAAAAATATTATTTTACTGAATAATGAAAATAATTAAATTTCATTTGTTATCTCCTTCCTATATTTGACTTTAAAATTACTGAATTGAATTTAGGTTTGCCAGATGGCTATTTTTAGACAATTGAAAAAATAAACTTTTACGTGTGGATAAATATCACATGAACATCTAAGTAGAAATTATTACCTTCTGGAATATTCCATATTTAACTTAGTAATTAACTGAAAAGTCTCTTGCAGTTGCCAATACTGTTCTTGCAAAAATGGTATGGGTTGGCAAGTGAATTCTATCCTTTGTGGTTTTTCAAAACTATTCTTAACTTGATCGTTCAATGCATTGTACACATGTAGCTGCTCATTTATTATACAATACTGTTGTTTATAGTCACATTCTAGTACAAAATTTCTTGAGAAACCAAAATATTGAGCCCCTTCTCGAAAAACACCACCAACAACTATAACAGCATGTTTCTCCTGAAAGTTTTTGAAACGTTTTAATCATATTGCACTAAAACACTCGTGAGAATAAATTCCATCAGAAAATGTTATGCATAAAAACCAGTTAATACTTTTAAGTATAATACTTTTAAGAAACACCCTGTATAATTTTAAACAAAGTGTTACCGTGTAATATATAACATCAGTCTTCATTTTGTAAGGGTCATGGTATGATAGTGGCAATGCTTTAAAAATTTGCATAATATTTTTACGACCCCGAAACAAGAATGTATCCGTTGGACCAGTTGCATTACAGCGGGAATACAAACTTCTGTTGATGGCAAAGTAATGATTTAACCTATAATAAATAGCATTATTTATAATCATTATAATTTACAATTAACAACACTATAAATTTCTTCTAGATACATACCTTGAAGATTTCTCGGTAACTTGCCCGGGAATAATTCTACAAGATACAGAAAACATAGCATTTTCATGATAGAGATTAAAAATCGTTGATCTGTCACATTCGTCATATACTGTAAAATAATATTCTAGGAATTGTTCAGCTAGATCTCCTGCATTGTGTGAACATAGGAAATTATTTTTAGGCAAGGGAACTTTGTCCATCTCACTTATAACTATACCATCCTGAAAAATTAACAAAGAAAAATTGTGTAGCAAATATTCATAAGATTGTTAATAATTCTTTTCAGAACTTATTTCTTAGGCTGTACTACTATTTAGCTGAGCTGTAAAATATTTTTGTTCATTGATTTGTGTGCCAGTGCTTCCGGTTAGATTTTGCTCACGTTATTTAATAATAAAATTCTTTAAGATAATGATAAAAAACTAGTCTGCTGCATCCAATTGAATAAGTATAATTTAAATACTTACTATAATCTTTATTCTGGGAAATAGCTTCTTTATACCCGTCACATATTTGAGTTGGTCAACATTTTCACATATAGGATTCTTTTCTAAAATGATCTCCCTTAATGCTGGAAAATGTTTCAGAGGTTGCAAGTCTTCAAAAGTAGTGACCTAGTAATATACTAAATTTGGATTACTACATTAATCATTGATATTAACTAGAAAAACAGAATACAATGACATGCTTTTATTGCTCTACTAATAGATTTTCTCAAAACGTAATCTATTCTGTTTTCTATTTTTCTAGTTCAGGTTTGTGTAGTATAAAGCAAAGAACCTGATTTTCTTGGAGGTCAATAGAAATTAAGCTATGTTTTCCCAATAAAGTAAGTGGACTAAATACTTTAATAGAGTTTTTCGAAAGAATCATTTTCTTTGGTTCTAGATTTATTACAAAATGCATTACAAATGCAAGGGATTTTGGATCATTCAATGAACAAAATCCTTCCAGTTCTAAAATGTAAAAATTATAAATTAAGTAATCAAACACATATACGATACTAATTATTTTACCTGGGTCATTATGAAATTCTCTTAAATTTATCACTTTATTACCAAATCGTTTTTGCACAATACGTCTAACATTATCTGCTAACTGGACATTAAATGTATCAAGTGGGCAGAAGTTTGCTATTATCGTTAGTTCTATCTGTAAAACAATACGAATAGGTTTTCTCTATTTTAATTTTTATTTATGCACTTACACACGCTTTCTTATTTAACGGGTTTGGAATTTTCAAATCATTTAAAACAAGTTTCATAATAGCATTTACACAGTTACTGGCCAGGAAAATGGCACCTGTCTTCTTTCTTCTAGTAAAATTAACTGGTGTTAGTTGAACTGGATGAAGAAAACTCAAAATAGTTCTGAGTATAAAATCATCTTCATAATGTAACATAACATTCTTAACCTAGACAATAAAACTAATTAAGATAATTATTTAAAAATTATCTACTTTTTAATAAATATCTACCATTGAATATAATATTTACAAAAACTATATAAAAAACCAATAGCTCCATAAAAAAAACTTGAAAAAAAATTGAACTTACTATAAATTTATGCCAATAATTGGAATTATTGCACTCATTAACTATTTTTTCAGCAAGATTTTTCCCTAAGGAATCAATGCTTATTAAGAAAGAGTTTTCCTTCATGTTAAACTAAATAAAATAGACAAAAATGTTAATAACGAGAATGTAGGAAAAGATACATCAACATCCAGTTAACCAGTAAAATTCATACAATTAAGCAAATATCAATAACTGATTACTAAATAATTCATTGGTGAGTGAATAATTCAGATTTCAGATTATAAATGTATGAAGGTTATAATGAGACTTTTGGGTTTATTTTTGTTATAAATATAACATAACCACAAAACCATTAAAATTACTCAGACCACAGATTAAAGAAACATAGACTCACGAAGACTACTCTACACCACAGATCACTAACAGGAAAATCTACACAAACACAGACCACGGACACATAAACAGAGACATATATTTTAGCTATTTACCGCTAGATTGCAGGTCACTATTTTGGAAAGTTGCCAGTAATACATTCAGCCCTATGCTGTAAAAACATTGAAATTAATTTCAACCTTGATATGAAGTCAATGTTCATACAGCATAGGGCTGATTAATTCTAAAATCTTTTCAAGTAAAATTGTTTAAATACTGCAATGTTAAATTAATGATGAACTTCATATGATAATTAATGAATGCTAAATTTTATGGAATTAGATAATTGGATATAATTTTAATATTATCTGGATCTGGTGAAATACAATCTGATAATAATTAATAAAATAATTTTTCTTCACTACAGCTGTCCAGCCTCTTTTTTTCCATTAGAGATCGTGTGGTATCCTTCTCACACACATAAGGAGATTGTTGTCCGAGACTGATTTCAGCTGACACCAATCGAAAATAAGGCGTTACAGTGGTATCCAGTTATTTAGAAATTGATATTTGGGATAATAAAAAAAAACAAAGATCTGAATAAATATTTCTAAACTTCAATCCACTAATACCTTCTAGTACCTAGCCATAACATTAGTTTTACCACAGTTCAAAGGGCCAACTATTAGGCAACGGATTGTAGATGGAAATAATGGTCCATTTTTTATGGGTTTTTTCCTTTAATTTAATTTAATGTGCAAATAGAGACGAAATGTAGACAAATCGTAATTATTTAGGGACATTTTGATACAATAAGTTCATGTTCCGGTCTCCTGCCTAGGTCTTCTGATTTTACACACCTTTGAATAATTCTGGCACTTAATTTGCGTCATATAAGATAAAAACGAATGCTTCTGTAAATTCTAGTTTATTTATTTTTTAGGTATTCTGTATACAGGCTGTTACAAATTCGCTTCTCAGTACAGGGATCTCGATAACGGTAAGAGATACAAACTAGCTTCATTGAAGATGAATTTTTCGAGACAAAACATCTGATTCTTGTTCGTGTTGAGGCAGTACATTATTAGGGGTCATAAAAGCTTGCAAAAAATGTAATAGAATTTCTAGGGTCGTACTTAAAAAAATTGATGATGGTCCTGGAGAGACGAAACATTACATATAAAAATTGATTATGCATTCGATAGAGGGCAAAAGGTGGCCATGGGAAAGTGTTCTTCTTTTTTCAATATCACCTCAAACAAGGCTGAAACGAAACACAAACGGATTTTCAAAATTTCGGTTTTTTTCAAATACTTCGAAAACTAATTATGTTAGCCTTGATTTTTTAGAGGCATAATGTTGGTCCCCTGATTACGCAACTTTGCCCCCATTTAAGCTACTTCGTACCTCTTACCGTTTCCGAGATCCCTGTAATGAGAAGTGAATTTGTAACAGCCTGTATAGTAAAAATATCTTATTCAGGAATAGTTTCATCTAATACCTATTTTCTTAACGTGTATGATTTTTTTTTTCTAATTTTGAGGAATTCTATCACTAGGTGTGGCTTGAAGTTTGGCCTAAGCAATTCAGAACAGCCTGTATATAGGATATGTTTCCTAATTTTTTAAATCATTATTATCTTGTTGTTTCTTTGATCTATTTAGATAGGTACCTATTTGTTATGAAATAATAAACAAACATAATTTCATTTTATAAAAATCAGATTAAGTACAAGAACTAATAAATAAAAAAGTATAGAGATATTTTATAAAAAAAGTGTTTATTACATTTGTTTGTTTTCAGTAGCTACTGTCAAAAGTTGACATTTTATTGAAAGATGCAGAGATTTCCTTCAGTTTTTCAGAATTGGAAGACTTGTTTAAGAAACGCTCGATATCTTGCATCATGTCAGAATTCAGAGGTACGTAAAATTAGAAACTTATAATTTATATTTAGAATTTGCTATTGTGTATTATTAATTTGCTGCCTTATGTAATATTTAAAACAGTTATATTCGGACGTTAATCAAAATTGTATATTAGATAAGTATGAGTGACATTTTATTAATTAATAATTAAAATTAATATATAATAAGCCATAAAACCTTCAATGAATTTATTAACATTACTTATACAGTGCGTCCACAGAATTTGATATTATTGTTGAGAGATAACAATGCCATTTTACTGAGGCTTAAATTATTTTCCCTTTTCTTTTTCGTATTGCTTTATCTTCGAACGAGTTTATTTACGTCACAATATTCTTAAGGAGCAAAAGTTGCCATTGTTACATTGTTCACAATTTTAGCTAGCACACTAGTAGGTACTTACCATTAAACTACAGTCACGTGCGACTAGAATACAAGAGTTAAACTTAATGTAGTTGGGACAAATGCAGTGTGTTAATATTTATTTTATTCGGTTTTTCAGACGAAGTATCCGATAATTAATCACAAGTATGACTGTGTTGTCGTGGGCGCTGGTGGAGCAGGTCTGAGAGCTGCCTTTGGTCTTGTAAGTCAAGGGTTCAACACCGCCTGCATCACAAAGCTGTTCCCCACGAGATCGCATACAGTGGCAGCACAGGGCGGCATTAACGCTTCTCTGAGTAAGTGCCAAAAACTTTCCTGAATTTTGAAAACGGTCGGACTAAACAGATCCCAAACTGCATAGTAAATATGTGATGCCCCACTCCGTCTTTCACTGCCCCGTGACGGTAACCATGACCATCGCTGTAAACACTTTGGAGATGTAGAGGCGAGCTACGAGGAGCCCACGTATTCAGAGTTTTGCAAGCGAAAGTCGAGTTAAATTGACTGCGCATTACAAATTTAACATTCCCTTTTTGATGTGTTTCATGAGGCTAATCAATTTAATTATGTAGATAACATTGTAAACTAAATTTTAAATTAAATTTTTAGAGTATCAATGTTCCGTAAGAAATAGAAAAAATATTAATTAACTAGAAAATGCAAGATAAAATACAACTTTTTCCTCGAGTTGCAATTTTCCCAATACGTTTACTTCGATTTTAGGCAACTATGAGGACGATTGTTGGTTGTGGCATCAATACGACACCGTGAAGGGGTCAGATTGGCTAGGCGATCAGAACGCCATCCATTATATGACGAAAAATGCACCCAAGGCGGTGCTGGAACTTGAAAATATGGGTATGCCGTTTTCTCGGTTTAAGAATGGCAAAATCTACCAACGGGCGTTTGGAGGACAGTCTTTGAAATACGGCGCAGGCGGACAAGCCCACAGGTATTTCACTTATCCTGTAAAATATGTGTAAGATACTTTCTCACTATTGAATTTTTTAATTTGTCATTATGTTAGGTCTGACCCAAAGGGGTTGGAAGAGATGGATGGTAAATAATGTGTTTTATCAGCGCAAAAGTTACCCGTTTTTTCCCGATAGTGTATAAAATTTCTCCTTTTAACCGATACTTTAAACAAAAATACAGGGTGTTACGAAGTACTGTGGAATCATTTTAAATTATAATGGTGATAAAAAGTGTCTGTAAGAGTTTTCAATCAGGCCAATGGCATAAGTAATGCGAACGAATATAGCACTTACAGATTAGTAGGTCACTTTGTGTCAGTAGGTACGTGCAAACGACTTATATCTCAAAAATTACGTAACCAATTTAATACAGTCGCCTTTGGAAAAAATTAACCCTTCATATTTTGCAAAATAATTGACCGCAACTTGTCTTTTGATAATCCTTCTGCATCTTCAGAAGAGATTCAGAGTGACCCAATAATATTCAATCTTAATTTCATATTGCAGTTAAGAACTTAGGAACACCCTGTATTGAACTTCGAAAGGTTAAGTCGACCTAGTACATACAATTTTTCCCGTTTTCATTGCCCATGTATATTTGGTTCATGTAATTTTATGTTGAGCTAGAACTTGTGCTGCTGCTGATTCGACTGGACATTATATGCTACACGCTCTCTACGGAGAAGCGGTCAGGCATAATTGCAAGTTCTTCGTCGAATATTTCGTGCTTGATTTGCTAATAGAGGATGATGGATGCCGGGGTGTCCTTGCCTGGAATTTAGAAGATGGAACTATGCACAGGTGAGGTCGTTATTACGTAACTAAGTTAGGCAAAGTCAAATTTTGTATAACTGTGTTTTATTGGCATTTTGTTATTTGCTAATATACTGAGGTATACCTATAGAAAATCAGGCCCAGGGGTCAGACCATGTTTATTATACGTTTCTTGGGTCGCTGAATCCGAATCCGGGGTTCATTTAACCTCATCAACTCTATTATTCATAACCTCAAAAAAAAAAACGATATTCTGAACAATTAAATTATTATTAAAATAACCCTAAAACTCCATCTTCCAACGATAAATCGAATTAACCAAATCCCATAAACATTTAACCCAACGGTATCTCAACCTAATAAGCCCATGAATTCAAACCTCATAACCCCATAACAAGGGAATAAGTCATAGGCAATCTGTATTATTGCAAAACATCCTTGAAAACCCAAGTACTCAGACCCAAAAACCCCATAACCTCATAACCCCATGCCCTCATAGTCAAGGAAATAAATCATAGGCAATCTGTATTATTGCACAACATCACATAGCTGAGGATTCCTTGAAACCCCAAGTACTCAAACCCAAAAAATTAATATAACCCCATAACTAATAAATCATAGGCAATTTGTATTATGGCTATATGTTAAGGTGCTTGAGGATTTCTTAAAAACCTATGCACTCAAACATCAAAACCCTCTCATAAGAGCTTTTGAAAAAATATTAATTTGTAGGATAGATCGTACTACAAATAAATCAATAAAACTATGGGGTTATGGGGTTATAGGATTATGGGTTTGAGTACTTGGGTTTTCAAGCAGTCCTCAGCTAGATGATAATTTGCAATAATACAGATTGCCTATGATTTATTCCCTTGGTTATGGGGTTATGCGGTTAAGGTGTTCTAGGGTTATTGGGGTGTGGGTTTATGGGTTTATTAGGTCGGAATATCATTTGGTTAAATGTTTATGGGATTTGGTTTCTTGAGTTATAAGGTTATATGGTTCAGTTGTTCAGAATATCGGTTTTTTGGAGGTTATGAAAAATCCGGAGCTGATCGGGTTAAATGGATCTCGGAATCGGATTCAGCGACCTAAAAAACGTGGTCTGGCCGTTGGCGTTGGGTCCGAAAGTCAATTTGTGTGGCTGTGAAATCCGCGCTAGAAGAAAATGAATTACTCTCTACCATTTTTTTATGTTCATGTTCCCGATCTTCAAACGCAAATTATTCCTGAGCTAATATCTATTAACAATAAATTTGCAGATTTTTCGCAAGAAATACTGTCATTGCCACTGGTGGTTACGAAAGGGCATATTTTAGTTGTACTGCTGCCCATACTTCCACCGGTGATGGAACTGCAATGGTATCAAGAGCTGGTTTTCCACTTCAAGACCTGGAATTCATTCAATTTCATCCAACAGGTGTAAATAATGTATTTTAATTTTGATATGAGTTTTATCTATTTTGAAGCGGTAAGATTTGAAAAATACGAGTAATTGCACACACAAAGTCATGTAGAATTCCCCAAATGTTAATCCGATAAATCGAAAGTAGTGTCAAGTGATCATAATTTGATTTAATGAGAAACAGTGACGATGAATTTGGGTTAAAAAATACTTAATACTTAAGAGCGTTTTCCAAAAGTCAAAGCAGAGGTTCCAACTGACACTAGTCCCACTCGCAGCTATTCTGGTGCTGAAGCTTTATATTTGCTTTAAGGGATTTACGGTGTGGGGGTCCTCATCACAGAGGGAGCAAGGGGTGAAGGCGGTTTTATCATCAATGCAAACGGAGAACGCTTCATGGAAAAGTACGCTCCTAATCTCAAAGACCTCGCCTCCAGAGACGTGGTTTCTAGGAGCATCACCTTAGAAATTATGGAAGGCAGAGGTTGCGGTCCGGAAAAGGATCACGTTCACCTTCAATTGCACCATTTGCCTAAGGAGCATATACTGAAGCAGCTGCCAGGCATCAAACAGACCTCCCATGATTTTGCCGGAGTGGATATCACAAGGGAACCCATCCCCATCATACCTACGGTACACTACACGATGGGGGGGATACCTACGAATTATAAAGGACAAGTTTTGACTCAAGTGGTATGTTGCTTTTATTTTCGAAAATTATATGTATGTAGATGCATATTTTTATTAGCTTTTAGTCCTTTACGTTACTTTAAAGATAGGCATAATATTAAATCATGTTTACTCCATCGAAAATGATAATCTCGGTATCTATATTTTTAAGCAGAAAAACATGTTGCGAATAACAGTTGCATGAATCTTTATTATAAGTAATTTAAATTTACAATAAAAAAATACTTACACGTTTCAACAATCTTACACGACACAATCTGGTATAACTTGAGATCCACATGAAATTGCTTAGATTTCCTTCATAATTGAGGTTTATTTGTATGTAGCGGGGTAAAGTTTACACAGCTATTGTGTCTGTTTTCGGTGGGAAACCCTGTACAGTGAGTGGGCCTTAGTACCTGATTAATGTGGGTAATAAACCCCACTGTGGAATTTCCTTTACTTTGCGAAGACAAATTCGCATAGTATATAAACTAGGATCTTCAAGTTTTGCAATAACATTTATTTTTCAATGAAAATTGATTTCCGTTATTATTTTCGCAGTTATGCTAGGCTTTAATACTCTCAGGGACGTTATAATTGTTTTTTTACCTTATTATGTATAAACCATTTTGTAGCAACAAATAATTCAACGTTAGTAAATCACCTTACAACAATAGCAGTGCCAACATGATTCTTAGTCCAGCCTGACAGTGGCTAATGGATTTCAGTTACTAATTAGCAATTCCCATAAAAGATTTAAAGCTCCCCAGTCAGTTGATTGCTAATGGTGCGCCTCTTGCACTAATTTACCGTGAAACTTCAAGGCAACTTAATGATCCTTATTGCTTGCGTTGTCAATTATTGATGTTCGTAACTATCTGAACAATTAATCCTGACTGCGAACATGAAAAGTTAGCACAATATTAGCTAACTTTTTAATGAGGTAATATTTATCAGTAGTATTCCAAAAACCGTTCAATTACGGTGAGATAGATTATGAATCTTCAATTAAATGTTTACAAATGAAGGCTGGTGCAAGATCGGGTCCGAGTCCACTTTTTATCAAAGTTTGGAATATGCTCATTTATCGCACCATATTAATAAGTATATTATAATCTGAGTATGATATACGAACTTCAAAATAATATATTATACAGTTTTGATCTATGTGAAAAGTGCATTTAGTTATTTAGTTTTGTACTGGTTGATTTATTTTGAATCTCACAAAAGATTCTGAGGGATGTAGGATAAGTTTTCCTGTTTCTCGATATTAAGCTGGTAGTCCTACATCACCAAAAACCATCTCTACCATATAACAAAGTTCCAAAGGTTCGAATTTCTTGACATCATGTGGATAGTTCTTCAGATTTAATGTTCTGATTAACACCGAATTGTTTCTTACCTGTGTCAATGCCTTTCCAGTAAATATGCCTTTTCTACAAAGGACGCTGTCCAGTTTTGGTTTAACAATTACAGTCTCCTAAGCGGCATGAACTGCTACAAATAGCCTTCATTGCTATTTTCGAGCTTATTGGAAGTATTATGTCTTCTGACGTTTCAATCATCTTCGTTTGCTGAATATAATAGAATCGGTACGATCCTGATCCTGAACGTTGTTCAATAAATCTTGCTTTCCCTGCAACAATCCTTAAACGGCGTTTTTCATCCTCTTCAAATCTTTCTTCAATTCATCTCTTATGTTTCTTTGTTAATCTTTATTTCCTGTAAATTGCTCTTCATTTTATTTCGTAGTAATTCTTCTTATAAATTGTTACTCATTTCGTCTATTACTGCGGATCATGATCTTATAATTCTCGAATTCTAATCGTACACTTTGTCACCATTAACATCGCCACGATCACTATCACTGTCGCTATCACCATCACCATCACTATCAAGATCACTATCGCTATTGCTATCGCTATCACTATCGCTATTACTATCGCTTTCGCTATCTCTGTCATTGTCACTGTCACTGTCACTGTCACTGTCACTGTCACTATCACTATCACTACCACTATCGTTACTATCACCATTACCATCATTACCATTATCATCGTCATTATTACCAATACCATTAGAATCCCTATATTTATTTACTTTTTATAATGTAATAAAAAAGAATGCAAACTTAGTTTCTGGTACAGAAGAGTTATCTCAAATCAAATAGAGGCCTTTAATATTTATGAGGCTTACCCTGCATGTTTACTGTGTAGATTTATTAATAACTAGAATAATGTAATATCCCTCTATGAAGTTTCTCATCATCGATCACAGAGGTGAGTCATTCAGACAAACAATTACGTTCAATTGCCACATGGTACACAAATATATTTGGGTGTTAGTGAAACCTTTGTATCTACACTTTGTAGTTATATTGGTATTACGAAATACTCCTCATTTCGAAGAATAATAAATAATTCATTATAAATCATTTTACAACATTATTTTTTCTTTAAAATAATGTAAAATATCCATTACCTATTAATGAATACTTTGCTTAGAAAATTACCGTTTTTTTCAAAATGCTATAAATTGGTTATAGTTGCAACTTATGTAATGTCTATTTTTACATTTTTATTTCCCTGATTTTGAAATTTTTGATTAGGTAAAACTATGTTCATAAATATAACTCTTGCTTGTTCCTTTTGGCTCAAAAGTTTATTTTATTTATTTTTTCTTCGCAGTTAGCAAAATACCCAACAAAACAAAGAAAAAAATAAGTTAACTAGGCCCCTGTAAAAGATTATGCAGTGAATCTTAAATATGTACATATATTTTGACTATGGACATACAGGGTGTTAAATAAGTAAATGCATAAATTTTGAGGGGCTATTCTTTGAGTCACTATAAACCAATAAGACTATTTTAACGTTAATATATTTTTTTGACTGTCATATTATATATGACATATCTTTTTTCATGCAAACGCAAATAAAGGGTCAGAAGGTAGAATTTTGAAAATATTCAGTGGCGTAGAATTTCTGCGGCTTTCAGAATGTTCTACATGGTAAATTATATCGCTATTTAAAATATACGCACACATTGAAGAGTCACTCTGTGTATTATTTCTTCAACTAAAATGCGAATCTGGAATGTCGCGGGCTTGATCTGTCAGTCATTGAAGAGTGATTTGTTTTGATTAACCTTCCACCGATAACGTTTAATTTGCAGGAACCTGGAAAAGACAAACTAGTTAAAGGACTTTATGCCTGTGGAGAAGTGGCTTCCGTATCGGTGCACGGAGCTAATAGATTGGGCGCAAACTCTCTCCTGGAAACTGTGGTGTTCGGTAGAGCTGTCGCCGATACAATAGCTCAGGAAACTTGCCCCGGTGCTACCGTCAAGGTGTCTGAGGTAAATTCGAGTACGACTCGGCTCACAGTGACCAAGTCCTTGTAAAACCAAATATAGCAGGATAAAACTATGCTGACGTATTGCAACAAAGCGCCGAGAAATATGCTGTCAGGCAGTTAATTCATTAAGGATGGAGATAATAAAAAGATACGCTGAGACAAAATTTTCATAGCCTTATGACGCAAATAAAACACATAATTGGTTTTGTTAAATATTCTAGAAACTGCAACTCAGCGGCAAGATAAATAAATGCATACGAATTTAAATAGTTGGGGAAAAAATGAAAATTAAAAGACTGTATGATAGCAATTTAGTACTGTCAATTGCATTTGAATAGTTCTTGTTAAACGTTTCGTATTCTATTTTCGAGTGGATCATAAAACTCATAGAAGCTTCTTTAGAAGACAAAGTTACTTTTGTTTTATTGTTTATTTTGACGGGGAAAATCACCTTTAAAGCTCATTGCAACATCGCTGTTACAACCATTTGCAGTGATAGGAATTCTAATGAAACTTGATTAATGTTAAACACATCTTTTATAGGCTCTAGGTGAGTTTGCGCTAGAAAATTTTGATAAACTTCGTACTTCTAACGGAAAAATTAGTGTTGGCACCTTGAGGCTCAAACTCCAAAAAGTTATGCAGAAGTACGCAGCAGTGTTTCGAACACAAAATGTGTTGGAGGAAGGGTGCACACAAGTGTCGGAACTATATTGTGAATTGGACGATTTGAAGGTTAGTTGATTATAGCGATATTTCCCATCTCTTTATTAGGTACATCTTAAAAATAATTGCGAAATGTGCAAATTTTTCTAATAGCAATTGTAGGTAGTTTATAAAGTATGTAATCCAATAAATTATCCACCTCAAATGACTTAAATGCTTCGCTGATACCACATCGATAATTTTTTTTAATCGTTGGTCGTCAATCAGAAAACCATATTAAGGAATTTGAAATTATGGAAGCGATTTTCTCAATTTATACAGGGTGGTCCAGATTTTAATAGACAAACTTCGGGAGAGTACTAAACAACAAAAATTAACATCACTTTGCTCTATGAACATAGGGGCAGAAAGCCACTGTTTATGAGATACAGGGCGTTGAAATTATCAAAAATAAAACAATTTTTTTAAATACCTGGAAAACCGCTTCATCAAATTTATCCAAATTTGGTACACATTTTTTTTCGAATATTTCTCCTAGTTCTGTATGCACACAGTCCAAATCCAAAAACCAGTGGCGGAGAAACAAGGACGTTGTTTCTTTATTTAGAGTAAAATTTCTACGCCACTGAATTAATTGGTAATATGAATACATTTTATAACGGTCTGAAATATTCCGGATGAAAGAACATTTTTGTCGAAAAGTTAATGGTTTACGAGTTATGAGACATATTATCCAAGTAAATAAAGCGTTGAAATAGGGAAAAATAAAACGAATTTGGGTGGTCCAGATTTTTAATAAACAAACTTCGAGAAAGTACTAAACAACAAAAATTAACATCACTTTGCTCTATGAACATAGGCGCAGAAAGCCACCATTTGTGAGATACAGGGCGTTGAAATTAACAAAAGTAAAACAATTTTTTTAAATATCTGGAAAATCGCTTCATCAAATTTATCCAAATTTGGTACAAACTTCTTTTTAAATATTTGTCCTAGTTCTGTATGCACACAGTCCAAATTCAAAAACCAGTGGCGGAGAAACAATGATATCGTTTCCTTATTTACAGTAAAACTTTTATGCCACTGAATTAATTGGTAATATGAATAGGTACATTTTACAATGGTCTGACACATTCCGGATGAAAAAACTATCTTTTATTTTTGTCGAAAAGTGAATGGTTTAAGAGTTATGAGACATATTATAATGCGGTTTTCCAGATATTTAAAAAAATTTGTTTATTTTTATTAATTTCAACGCCCTGTATCTCATAAACGATAGTTTTCTGCGTCTATATTCATAGAGCAAAGTGATGTTAATTTTTGTTACTTAAAACTTTCTCGAAGTTTGTCTATTAAAATCTGGACCACCCAAATTTGTTTTATTTTTCCCCTATTTCAACGCTTTGTTTACCTGAATAATATGTCTCATAACTCGTAAACCATTAACTTTTCGATAAAAATAAAAGAATGTTTTTTCATCCGGAATGTTTCAGACTATTATAAAATGTATTCATATCACCAGTTAATTTAGTGGCGTAGAAGTTTTACCTTAAATAAGTAAACGACAGCCTTGTTTCTCCGCCACTGGTCTTTGAATTTGGACTATGTGCATACAAAACTAGGGGAAATATTTAAAAAAAAATGTATGTGTACCAAATTTGGATAAATTTGATAAAGCCGTTTTCCAGATATTTAAAAAAAATGTTTTATTTTTGTTAATTTCAACGCCCTGTATCTCATAAACGGTGGCTTTCTGGCTAACAGGCAAATAGGCTAATTGTTTAAATTACGGCGGACTTCGCTACAAGACCTCTGCGGATCCATCAAGAAACGGGATCGAACATCGACCCCTGTACTTTACAGTTAAGTAACCAGGAACTGATGCCTTTCCAGTATATGTAGTACGGCAAAAAACAAATATTTGCCTATCAAATACCATTTACTGTAAATAAGATATTTTTAATACATTTTCAGAACATTGTTAAAAATTTTCATACCTATTTTTCGGGCACATTGCTTCCGCTCTTGACCTTAGTCCTACAGCCTTAACGATCCAGGCATCGTTCGTCCAATCCTGGAGTGAAGATCCCAAAGGATGAAATAAGATCCTAAAAGCGTCCGTTTTCTTATAACAAATGTTACTTTCATTATAACAACGATGGTTACTTTCCCATTACTCAATGGAATGCTTGGAATAATAATTTTGGTTTCAGATTACTGATCGCGGCTTAATTTGGAATACAGATCTCTTGGAAGCCTTGGAACTTCAAAATCTCTTTATAAATGCTATACAGTCGATTTACGCGATGGAACAAAGGAAGGAGTCAAGAGGAGCGCATGCTAGAGACGACTATAAGGTACACATATAATTGAATAACTTTATGAATAATTTTATGTAATACGAAAAGGACCACCTCCACTGAAATTCTTGTCAATGAAAACTGATAACACGTTCTTTGTGAACATAGTATCACTAACAATTTTTATATTTATCTAGTTAGTTCCAGTTTTATTATTTTACGTCAAATATCTTTCGCGATATTTGTATTTTTGTGATAATTTTAAAAAATTTGAACGCTCCGTATCTCGAAAACTAGACCGTTTAGGAAATATACAGGGTGTTTATAAATAAGTGCGAAATATTTTAGGGAGTGGTTGTGAAAAAAAGTATGCTTCGTTTATTTTTATTATTTCAAAGAGTTTTAAAGATATTGACTCGAAATTTGGAAAACGCTTTGGTGGGATAAATGTGCATTTTTTGGGGTGATCTGAATATTTCTACTTGCACCTTTAAATAAATAAAAGACTAACAAAATCTACAATAAATTGTTTGATTTTTTCCTCAAAAACGGTGAATCCTACGAAAAAAATTGAAGAGACCAATTTCAGAATTGATAGTGGATTTCCAAAAAAAAAAAAAATATAAAAACGGGAAAAAGTCAGTGGCGTACCATTTTTTTAAATTAAAAATGGTTGTGGCATTCTCGCACGAACGCCAATTTTGACTACAGGATCAGGTTAAGCCTTCGGAAATGATATGTGGCTCTCTTGAGTTTGAACTTTTTTTTGTGCGGCTGTGCTTTTTTATTTTAATAAGTCCAAAATATATTACGGGAACAGTTCCAATTTTTTTTTTAATTCTCACAACGAACTTGAGTGTCAAAATATTGTATAAGGATAACTCCAGTTAAACCGTTACACAAAAAAAATACGAGATCAACCAGTTAAAGGAAAAAAAATGGAAGGACTAGAGGGGTCGTGTTTCAAAACAAATTTCATTCTGTAGATTACTACAAATGGTAATTCATACATTCGTTGGCACCAAAAAACATTGATTCTATCGAATTTGAATGATCTATACTAAAATACGTGAAAAATAAATGAGAATAATTGAAAACATATAAACTTACTAAGATATATCTCAAAAATGAAGCGTTCGTACAAGTTAGAATTTTGTTGCGACACACTGTATACTTGGAGGGGGTACGCTTCGCAGCTTAAAAGTCAATCAATCCGTTAATTGTTTTTTTCTTCGGGCACTTCTGCTGCTTCACCTACATTAATTATTTCGGAAAGTGTCTCGGGATAAATAATTCATCTACACGTGCGCCAGAATAGGGCGAGCTTAGCGATTAACGCCATGCCCCTAATCAGTTAGCCCGTGTCAGCCAGGAGTTATAAGTAGCAGATCTATCCCGAGGGATGACATGGATGACATTTTGATCGTCCGTCGGCCCGATGAACGCCTAGTATTCTTATGGATTCCCCCCTTGCTAAATATTAATTGCTCTGTTTCAACGTGTCAGTGTGGAACTCTGTTGGCGGTTGCTGAAGCGCAACACGTGTACTAAGTTCGCATTTTCTGATAGAAAGTGAATAAACGTACAGGGTGTCCTAAACTCCATCGAAGGATATCTGGGAAACCGCTCGAAGGATTTTTTTGAAGTTATGATGGTGTGGTACGGACCGTGGGGCTTACCAAGCTAAAATATTTTCAAGGCCATCGTACTTCCGGTTATACCGGAAGCCGATTCTAACTTTCTTATTTTAAATGGAACCCCCTGTATAGATATTATTGTATTTTTGGAAAGAGCGTCTATTTTTAAGTTGAAAACATATAGCACACTCCATACTTAGGATTGACGGTTTCCAAGATATTTTGATTTTTAAGCAAAAATTGACAGATGCAGACTGTCAGCAAAATTTAGTTTTCCCGGAAACATAGGTTTATTTTTTGTGTAAATTGGACATTTTGTAGAGAGAGACCTAATTTATCGAATAAGACATGAAAATTTTCCAGTTTTTCCAGAAAACTCGAAAATTTTAAATGGAAACCCCAAATTTTTTTAACGTTTTTCCATTCTGCACTAAAATTAAGTGTAACTTTGTTAAAGTCAAATTCGATAAATTAGGTCTTCCTCTACAAAATGTCCAATTTACACAAAAAAATAAACCTAAGTTTCCGGGAAAACTAAATATTGCTGACAGTCTGCATTTGTCAATTTTTGCTTAAAAATAAAAATATCTCGGAAACGGTCAATCCCAAGTATGGAGTGTGTGCTATATGTTTTCAACTTAAAAATAGATGCTCTTTCCAAAAATGCAATAATATACAGGGGGTTCCATTTAAAATAAGAAAGTTAGTATCGACTTTCAGTATAACCGGAAGTACGATGACCTTGAAAATATTTTAGCTTGGTAGGCCCCACGGTCCGTATCACACCATCACAATTTAAAAAAAAATCATTCGAGCGGTTTCCCAGATATCCATCGATGGAGTTCGTGGTGCGACACTGTATATTTTGCAGAGACATACGTGTGTTCCAAGTTAGATAATCACGTGTCAAGTTTTTGCAAACATATGTAAAAGTAATTTTCAAATTTTGCGTTGTATCGAAATTGCTTTGAATATGACTAATAAATAATAATTAAATGCGTGAAAACATTTTTTTGTTACTATGTTACAAGGTGATATCTATGCACAAGTGTTAGCATACCAACTTTCATTTAAATAAGACACAATGTTTTACAGTCCGTTTCATAATAGACTAAAAAATAAAACAACAATTATGTTTGAGCGCCTCATTAACAACATATCAATGACGTAAAAAGAGAAAAAGTAAATCAAAATGTGCCCAAATGAAAACAGGTTTTGTTTGAAACATTTCAGCACAGTCAAAGCATGAAATGTTAACATTATTAGCTTTCTTTCAGTGTATGTATAATTCTTACCTCTCTCCTGATTTAATTTATCCACAAATAGAATCTGAATTCATCACTGAATACAATATCGTTATATTCATGCTGATTCTATTGTGTTTCACGATACAGGTACCTACTGCGAGACATAATGCTAATAAAGACCAAATTCCATTATTCTACGACAAACACTTGGTTAATCCAATCAACGGGAACAGTTATGTTTTATGATTTGTAAGAAGCATCTGTGGAAGAAAACATCCAGAACTTCATTATTTAAATTTCATTTTCAGGATACTAAAGTTATTACAATTTAATTTTAGATGGATGTTGTTTCCAGTATATATTAATTTGATCTCAATCTTTTAAATTTTGACATGCAACTACATATAATGCGGATGTTTTACTGTGGCGCTAATAGAAACTTCCATTGAGGCATGAAGCAAATTTTTATACAGGGTGACCCGGTACTTGATACAAAAAAGGTCGAGTTAAATAGATGAGAAGTTTGACATTTGCGTGCGAAGTCAGTGGTGTCACTAAAAAAATTAAAAATGATTTAATTGTATTAAATATATTAAAATAAACTTACTAGCATACACAAGAGAACAACATCATGTTAAGTAAGCTGAATATTTTTAGATTCGCGTGGATGAATTCGACTACTCCAAACCGATAAGGAAACAGAAGATTAGACCGCTTGACGAACATTGGAGGAAACACACGTTATCGTGGATGGATGTGGAAACTGGAGAAGTACGTTGGGAAGTTTATTTAATTTAGCATTAAAGACGTCTGTTTTCAGGTTTGCTTTACTTTTCGACCTGTACAGGACTGCACTTTGGATGAGGACGAATGTCCTAGTATTCCTCCGAAATTAAGAACTTATTAATTTCATTTTAATATACCTTCTATGTTATATTCATATATTTTAAAATAAATATTCGCTTATTTTTTTATCTTCCAAATTACTGCATCTTTTAATGATTTTCTGTTACAAATCTATTTTTCAACTACTGACTACTAATTAAATTCTAATTAACTCGTCTTCATTTTCCTAATGGAATAGCAGAAATTTAATTTTTAATTGGAACCCTTCTACAGTCTCTACAGGGAAACCCAAAAATCTCAGAGAGAAAGCATTTTTGGGAAAAATGGTAAGGACAAATTTTCAGCATTTTTCACGGCTCATCCAAGGGTAACCTTGACTTTGAGGTCAAGGTCAAGGTTCAAGGTCATATTAAGATCAAGTCCTAATATGACATTGACCGTGACTTCAAGGTCAATGGTCAAGGTCAGTTCAAGGTCAAATGTTGATTTTTCCGTAGGACAAGTCCGCAGCGTGCGCACGTGCTATACACCAGCTGTGTAGCGTTAGGTTAAGCGCTGTTGTCACGTTGTGATGAAACTCCTTAATGTTAATACTCGCTGTATTTTGAAAACTGTTTACGCCTCTGTAATCTACAACTTTTTTGTTTATTTATGATTACTCTATCTCGTGCTGAAGTAATGGCAGTTAAACTTCTTATACCCTGTATAATGCAAAAGCAAAATTTTGCAACATACTTGTGTACTGGCTAGGTATTCGTCTCAGGTTCTCAGGATGACGTCGAACACACTCTAGGTTGGATTCGCATTGAATTCTGGTATTTTGTCGTCATGGAAAATGCTTACTTTGGAATAGTGGCCGTATTCGAAAGGTTATCGGGGCTTTGCTTCAGTCCGATTTCAGCAAAATTTGGAATTATTTAATTTCCCAAAAATCCGGAACTGAGGTGAAAATTTTTGCGTCTTTCTGCGTTGTAGGCTGTGGCTCAGTAATCGGTAGAGTGCTTTGTTAGCATAGTCTGATGATGCTTGGCTGCAATCGGGGATTCGTAATTCGAAACATGAGTGAAATTTTGTCTCTTTTGAATGTGAAAATTCGAAATTTTTTTATTATAAAATTTTGGAAGTCGCCAAGTCATTATTTTGATTTTATTTTCAAATCAGATTAGTATAGATCAGATTGGTTAGATAATAACTAATAAAATAATTAATTACTCGAAAACAAAAATACAATAAAACTACAAGTGAGAAAAAAATTAAAAAAAAAACCTTACCTTTATGATAAATAATAAATAAACTGAAGTGTTAAATCACCTGGAAAAAAATGTCGTCGAGGGTACTTGAGCGTAGGGGTACTTTTTCTCTTTGTTTATGTGCAATTATTTCAGTTATTTATTACTATTCGTAGTTGCTACCTATTACGATTGGAACTTTACATAAACTTCTAATGTACTTCCTGTATATATATTTTAAATTATCATTTCTTTTCAGGGAGTTTTTTCACTGAACATTTGCTAATTCGTATTTATTTTAAATTTAAATTTAAAATTTATAGCAATTTTAATTCTGTTACAAAAGTAAATTATTTTTTAAATCATCTACCAAAAAAATTAAATAAATAAATTTTTTAACGAGTTTCGTTTTATAACATGAAAAGATTAAAACAGCTAACAATGTGGTGTAAGTCATGTAAAAATCTGTTGCCTAAGGTCAGAGCCACTCTCGGCTTCCTTGCGTTTCAATTAAAACTTTAAGTAATCACTTTTTTAAACAGCAATTACGACTTTTTAATCTTTAAATTAATCTAATCTAGTTATCTGCGCCATGAAACTCGACACAACAAAGTGGAAGTTTGTGAAATTACGTAACGCGAGTATTTCAACGTGAAGCTAATTTCGGGTTTTTAACGTGTCGGAGGATTGGATTTTCCTCATAAATGAAAACATTTTCCTTTGTGACATCCGAAAATAAAATAAACATCGAGGCAAGCGGTCTACCAATCACTGGGTTGTTACTACAAATCTCTTTTTGTCAACACATTTCCAATGGGCGAGGCGCCGTTATTTGTGACGAAGTTAAAGAATTTTGCTGTCTTTTGTTAATTTATTTTGCATTAAAAAAATATTTTTGTTTGTAAATTTATAAGTAATTTTTTATAAAATATCTGCTTGTCCTCAAACTCTTAAAAATATTACTAGTTTTTTGATTTTATATATAAATTGTTCAATTTTTTGAAAAATTAAAACGTACCCGATGTTTTCAGACAGTTTCATTAGGAGATATTGAAATTCAAGGTTGTAAATGTGAAATTTCAATTGTTCTTTAAAGAATATACAGGGTGTTCAGAAAAGTTTGTACAAAATTTAAGGAGGTGAAATTATAGCCAAAAATAGAAAAAAAAGTTCCTATAAACACTGATCCTCCGGAGCACCGTTACTGAGATATGGCCCTCCAAAGGGGTCTTAATCATTTGGATATTTTTTAAAATTACTTTCTTTCTGAGGAATGAAAATTGTAGGTAATAATCATACCAAAAGGTTCTTTAACTATCATAAGTTTTATCGAAATCGGTCATAAATAAGGATAGTTTTCTAACTACCATTGACAGAAATTTTCGAATTATTTTTATTCCTTAGAATTATCAAGCTAATAATTTCAGTCATTCATTTTTTAATGAATTAGACTTTTTTGAAGAAAAAATGTCACTACTACTTTTTTACGTAGTTTAGTCAGAAATAATTATTTTTTAAATAATATGGCTCAGAACTGTAACTTTTTTTAACATTTTCACATAGTAGGCATCTTTCGTGGTGACAGTTTCATTATAATGATACTAATGATTGTCACTGTCGCGTGATTGAAATTCTTACTCTTCTTTATCTTCTTAGGTGTGATCTTTGTGCTTGATTTTGCAGTTCATTCGATTTTTTTACAACCATGAACCTTCATGAGCAGACGCTTTTCTTACACTCGCAGCAAGATTACGTTAAAAAAATTCTAAAATTATTTCGTCCAAATCATTCCTACGCCTCCTTGGACGGCCAAATTCACGATATCTTGGAGTTAGGGCTCCTGATTCCATCGTTATTGCATGAATTTTCCCAAACAATCTTGCAGAAGGTTGCCTTCTATCAGGGAAATGTTGCCGATACTCTTTTTGAGCAGCTAGACTATTTCTATTATAGAAACCATAAATATCGGCATATTCACGGTTAGTAAAAACATTATGGAAGGAATAAATAAAATTCGAAAAATTTCTGTTAAGGGTAGTTAGAAAACTATCCTCATTTATAACTGATTTTGATGAAGCTTACGTTGGTTAAAGATCCTTATGGTACCAACTTTTCTAAACACCCTGTATATACACTTCATATCAGTTAAATGGTTTGAACACACGAACACTCTTGTGATATCCGTAATTAAGTCAAAAACTGATTAACAGATTCATTAGAGCTCATAGACTTTTAAAAGGTCAGTGGTGTTTGTAACGGCTTTTAATTTTTATGTTTATATTCAAATTAACGCTCACATATTTTTTAGAGGATTACTCTGTTTTTAACTTCAAATAATTGATTTTGGGAACAAACTTCAATATTTGGAAAAAGAAAATGAATGTAGACTTTTTTGACATTGATCTTCATCGGTTTTAGATTTTTTTTTTATTTGTTAGAAGTGTAAAATTGGTTGCTATGTTGGATAAAGGAATTAATTAGTTTCTTTACTTTTATCTACAGATTTAGAATTTCAAGAAGACCCCTGCGTCACTTGGAATTAATCGCATTCGACACCCGAGAAAATATCAAGGCACGCCCCTGCCTCGGTAAATTGTTACAGTAGTTCCGATAATATAACTTTATTGGCTTATTCTTTCCTTGGAATTCTGTTTCAACAGATGTCGTACGGACTGGATTATTTACAATCAAAAAAACTTATTCAGGAGTTTACCAAATTGTAATTGTTGAACTATTAGAAAAACGTATTTAACGTTTTTATTTAGTAGAAATTACGTATTTAATTTGTACTTTGGGATATTTATACGCATATATACTATAAAGTTTCATCTTTGGGGAAAAGAAAAAATTGATATTATTTTATTTATGGTGAAAAGCCTCTGAGGAATGATGTGAAATTGCGTGGGACTAAATATTCTGAAGAATTTTGTAATTTTAATAATCATGTAACGCTTATCTACCGTGAGCGTCCGCAGAGAATTTGTCAGGAGGGGGGACAGAAAAACTAATAAGAATCATTATTACATTTTATAATATAATTACAGAAAATTTCCCTCGAAGGGCAAGAGTAAATAAAGGTAAAAAACAACAAAATTAATTAAACATTTAGGGGAGGGCATACGCTGCTTCCTGCCCCCATCCGGATGCGGAATTTTCATTACCAGTACCAGTCCTGCAATGTTGGTTGCCTAAGCTGGGCGGTCACATGACTTGTGAATGTTTATGAAATCTGTATAAAGTTTGAAAGATTCGTAATACTTCTCTCAGTACCTAATTATGAAAATGAATATTTTTGTTTACAAATTATTTTTCGATATTTCATCAACTATATAAGCCTAGCGTGTGAAATTAGTTCTTAAAAGTACATTTTCTTAAAAAAAAGTCAATTTCTTTCACTAAAATCCCGCTATACGTAATGCCTGCACTCTGGTATTTCAAAATTACCACTCGCACACATCTAAGTCGACGTTGGTTATGATTATGTCAAAGGGGCATTGAATTAATGGCTACACTTAGTTTTATGTCCGCGTTTTATCGCTACAGTCAATCTTAATTAAGATATCTATTTTCTGTGTTTCTGTCACCAAAGCCATTGTGTTGCGCAAAGTGCAGCTGAACTTTATAATGTGACTTCTAGGTATAAAGAAACTTTAATATACGTACAGCGATGAAGAAGAAATCAATTATAGGATAAAATCTTTTAGAGGTATCCTCGTACCGATTTACCTTTTTTTATGATCCGTACCAAATTTATGTGACTGAAGGAGAAAGCAACTAACTTCGGAAGTTCCATGAACGAGTCCATTATACAGGGTGGTCATAAATAATCTCT